CAAATTACTTTTAACAATCAAGCATGAATTTTGAGGGATTTATTGAAAACAACAAGGGAACTAATTTCTTTTGCACCATGTGACCACTTTGAGCCGCCAAACCCACGTATATACAACACGGAAATCATGCGCTCTGTTTTCTCATTTGGAAATGGAAACCCGAGCCGGCATGATGGCGGGAATGGACGCTCAGCTGGTAAGTTGAGGGATGAATGTGCTTATGTATAAAGTTAACATAAAGAGCTCCAAGTGTTGGGGAGGGAAATGTTTGGCGTGAATGTGTACTTACGTATGTGTGTGTATTCATGCGCTGGCCGCGACGCCACTTTGTCACAGGCACCTTACTACAAAGTTTTTCCATTCATAATTTCCTACTAAGCTGAAAACATACAGGATCCGCGTTGAGCGCGTTTTGTCAGCGTCGTGTATCTGCTCCATGGCGCACACAGGATGCGTGTTTGGATTGGAGCGTGGCGCAGCATAGTGCAGCCCCGGCCTTTTGTAGTCTATTTCCTGCTAATTTGGATATAATGCGGTAACTGTTGAGCCTCTACCATATGCGGAAAAGCAACGTGATTGTAAAGTTTCGGCTTTTGCAGGTTAACTTTTGTTTAACAAAATAAACTATATTCCTTCATGCTGTGCTGTTACCTTCAGACAGAGTAAGCAGTTAAAAGTCCTTTTGGGGCCCAAATGGATCAGGGATTGACCATCGGATTGTTTTGTGTTACTGATAAATCCAGAACCAGGAAGTATTTCTCATCTACACGAACTGATACACAGTCGGGAGTCCGCATATGGGATTTTATTTTGAAATTTACCGGATAACATGCGCAGTTTTCATGCTTGACGTCCTGTCTATGACGATCTTCCATGTGTAGATTGATGCATGTTATAATATAAAACAATGTATTTTACTCGATAATGCTGTATTGGGCATTTTCTTCTACAGATTGCAGAATTTTCTTGAGTTTGCTTTTTCTTCTTCTGCAGAAGTAAATGTTGCAGAGAAACTTTCATGTGATTTAAAACATTTTGGTTTGCAGAATTGATTTTACCTTGAATACAAAATGCATTTTAATTCTTCAGAACCCTTTTAGTGAAATAAACTCAAACTTGTCAGCCCTCATATTTTGATTTAAAGTATGAAGCTGTTCATATTGAAGGTTTTTTTTTTTTTTTTTTCTAAATAAATTATGCTTCTTCTTTTCTCTGAGTAGTGCTGTGCGTCTTTCAAAAACTTTCAAAAAAATGTTGGATGAGGAAATCTGTTTCACATTAGTGAAATTAATTATGAAATCTTTGAAACATTTCTCTTTGGCCTTGGAAGAATTACAGTCACAGATGAGTGCCGGAAGGACTCAATCAAACATGCATGTGGGTAAGTTGCCCTTTGTCTGATAGACCCAAGGAGAGAAAACTAGGACTGGATGTTAATTTAATTCGATTGTATGAGTAACTGTTGTATAAACCTTTTATTTCCATGCTCAAGATTTTGTGCATGATGTTCTGCAAGTTTAAAAAAAGTCTGTACTCTTGATGCCCCTTTTTTACATAACCAGTTTGAAGGACCATAAATTGCGTATTTGAATCATTCAACAGATTCAGGGTATCAAAATGTCATGTTATTAAGTCTATCTTTATATTCACAAATGAAACATTTCTCTGAAGGCTGCACACTGCATCAGTCAAGACCTACAGCATGTGTTGCACCTTATGGGAGCTCTTAATAAATGCTTAATGAAAGTACTTTTCAAATCCAAGGCCTTTTAGTCCATCAATGTCATGGCCATCAAGAGCAGTCTGAAAATCTAAAGGTAACATAACCAGCTCGCTCAATCATGTTAGAAACTGCTTTGCGCTCAGACTTTTCTTTCTATGATTTGTGTTATCTGACTGAACTCCTACGTGCTACAGAACTACTGTATATATCTAACGCTGTGTGTGAGTTAGCTGTGTGTAAGTTCTTTAAGATTGTGCAAACTAACTTTAAATAACATTTAAACTCAGATATGTTGTAAACCATGGTAAACTATATTAAAGGTGTATTCCAGATACACTGAAGGGCTTTTTAACTAAATCATAGCAAGATCTTAAATGTCAGTAAAAACAGCTTGAATTTGTAAAAGAAGTGTTTCAAACAACAGCAGTTGATTCTCACTGATCCAAATGTGAAGATGACAACAGTTTCAAGTCCAAAGCTGTTCTGATAGTGGTACCCAAGTCATTCTAGCACCAATACCAGAGAATCCTCAATATTAAAGCAGTTTGGTTGCATTAATAACAATACCAGAGTTGTTCTTACACCTTTCACAGAATTGTTCCAGTAATTGTATTGATGCTGATAAAAACACTACCAGCTTAGTTGTTTTGATACCATAACTAGGGTTGGTCTCATGCAGAAACCAGGATTGTATAATACCATCAATATTAGCACAGGTCTACGAGAGCAGCCAAGAACAGCCATGGACTGTTATCTCATGAAAACAACTTATTATCGTTATCTCAACATAAGAAAGTTTGTTTTCTAGTGATAATGAAGTATTATTTTGTTACCTCGGGTCTGTGTATTATCCGTCCATTCAAATGTTCTATTCTATCTAGTGAACGAAAAACGAAAAAAACAAGTCAATATTTGTTTATTTGTTTTTCTATATAACCAAAAAATAAAATATTAGTGTTTGTTTTCGTATTTTCAGATCAAAACAGAATATATAATAGAGATGGAAACGAAAATCTACTTTTCGTTTACGGGTTATTGAGGTCCCCATTTCCTACAGTGCCTTTCTACTGTTTGCACATGCGCATTGTGCAACAACGTAGCCAACAACGTGGACCAAAAACTCCAGTCCAAAGCGGTAGAGAAAGGCTAACCTGCTGTCATGGAGATGGACACATCCTACGTATTAGTCAAAGCCGTCAGTAGGGTCATGTTAAAGGAGAAAGATATGACTGTTTAAAAAATTACAACCAGAGCTCTGTTACAGCGAAAGATTTTGGCGCTCAAACCACTCTGTCACATCTTTCGCCATGGTAACTGTCGCTGAGGATCATGGGAAGGCCAATGTAGCCTCCATGCACGTATGGTCAAAACAGGTGCACTCAAAATCAATTATTGTAAATAAGATTTATTTTTTTGTTTTTGTTTCCTTCTCTATTATATATTCTGTTTTGAGCTGAAAAAAAAAAACACTATTCTTTTTACATTTTTTGGTTATACAGAAAAACAAACAAAATATCGACTCATTTTTTCATTTTTCATTTACTAGATTGAATGGAATAATTGGACGTATAATACATGCACCATCTCAATACAACAAAGTTTGTTTTCTCAAATTGCAAATCAGACAACAACAGTACCAATGACTGACACATTATTAATTTGTTATCGCGAGAAAACAATTTTTGCTATATAGAGATTATGAGATAACAAGTCGTTATCACGAGAAAACGAAGTTTGTTATGTTGAAATAAAAAGATAATACTTCGTTAGCATGAGATAACAGTGCATTAAAAAAATAAATAAATAAAAAAACATGGTTGTTCATGTCATCTGTACAGGTCTCCAGTTCTGCCTTATATATTTAATTCTGTGCGTGGGTGAGTCTGCCCATCACTGCACCAGTCACATACCATATCTTTAAGCACCAATAGCAACTTAATGTAGGTGAATGATTGTCATTTTTATCTATCAGTTTCTTATTTTTAATTGCATCACGTCAGACAGATGAGTATTGACAATACATCCGTCCATACTCAATTTTAAGTAATTGGAATCAGTTTTGGGAAGGACATAGTATGCTGTAATGTACTGATCAGATGTGTTCAAGGACCATATTTCCAGCACACATTCTATTAAGTATATTTGTTGTAAAATAGTTCGAGGAATCTACTTCACAGCTTTCTCCTCGGATCATTAGAATGGCATTTTTTCTCTGAAGGCTGACCACCTGAGCACTCGTCTCACCTGTCTTTGTGCTGTCGCTTCGGTTAACCTTGCAAAGCTGCTGGAATGGTAGTTCATTATTCCCAAGACTAGTCGATGGAGTTCAGCATCCATTTTAGACATTTTCCTTCAGTGACTCATCTGTGGAGACTGAATTTCTCTTTTAAGACTCTCTTAGTGCAGAAAGGCTTACATGCTCCTCCTGGTTTTTGTAATAACACCGAGTAATCTCACCAATGTGTGGCATTGTGTGCCTGTGTCCTTAAACTTTACACTACATAATCTTCAGCAGCTGCAAACAGACTTAATTGAAAATCTCCATTACAAGAATATCAACCAAGGCCTCACATGGGCAATGTGCTCCTCAGACATAACAACAACTTTATCAGGACATTTATTTTCTTGACAGCAATAGAAATCCGGTAAATTGCACTGCGCAGACTTGTCATCTTGATAGCTTTTGTACTTGTGCATCTCTCTTTTTGCCTCCTCTTGCTGAGATTAATTGCTCCTGCGCCCAGCAGTGACAACAGCATTTATGGAAGGAGGGCTATGGATATAGGATGCCTGCATTCAGGTCTGCTTTCTCCTTTGTTTTTCTTTCCCTTTTTTTTCTTCTCCCTGTCTTTCTTATTTACCACTTTGCTGTGATCCACCACAGGAGAAGCACAGAGGGAGCATGTAATAGGAATATTGTAGATACAACTCTACAGGCAGCTGGCTGTGGGAGTAGAGGAGAGGTGATGGCTCAATTTATGATCCACCTCCCACATTTTCTGAAATTCATCCACCTGATAGCACCTGCTTCCCCTCTGCTTCTGCTGAAGTCATTGGCCCCTACAGAAGTACGCTGACAGTAATACTCTGGGGGGACAGTTAGTGGTCAACACTGCAGAGTCTTAACCAAGTAGTGCATAAAGTACATCTTACAGGAAGAGCAGAAAGTTTTTACAGTATTAAAAGCCTAACAAGTCACACAGCAGACTATTAGAGACTATCTCTCATCTTTGGCATTGACCTCATCTTCCCACACGGTGCTGTGGCAAATAAGATTGACTTTGTATGGACGCAATGGATGGAGAGTAGAACCATCTGTTAATAATTCATTGATATACTCCACATATGGGACCTTATCTGAGACACTGAAAGGTGTCTTTAGACCTGAATAGGTTTTATTCTCAGTTGAATTAGTTTACCTTGTGCATTGTTCAACCGCGCCGTGCTTGAGAGGCATTTGGGGGACAAGTACTCTTAAGATGCTTGAGGAATTCAATGTGCTTCACTATTGACATCCTGGAATTATGCCCTAGGTTGTCATTGGAGTGTATGTTACAAGATGACTTAATAGACAAGGCTGTAACTTGACCCTCGCACAGGCTGCCTACAAGACACCCATTGACAAAGTCGAGCAGTCTTTATGCTTATTTCTATTTTCGTATATCGTAACATATATTCGCTAAAATTATTGTCACTTTATTATTACTTACATTAATATTCCATAAATCACTAAACTGTCGAGCTAATAATCAGAAATAAAGCTCAGAATTACCATAATCTTTGGCATCAAAACTAGTTCTTATTATAACAACTTATAAAGTTAATTTACAAAACTGCAATTTTCTCATTAAAGTCGGAAATATTGTTGCACAATTCAAGTAGCAATGAAATAAAGTAAAATAGAGTAAATATGATCAACAACAGTGATAAAATGACTATTACTAAATGAATGAATATCAAAAGTGTTAAAATTTTGTCTTCTTGTATTTATAGGTGGCAGAGCAACTCTGTTATGTAAGAGTTGAAGGATAGGTGTTTGGTTTATGAGATATTTTCTTTTAAACACAAGCCTGAACAACTTCTTGAACTTGTTTTTCAAACAAAGGTCACTGTCAAATAATCCAAATAGGGATCTGGCTGCTGGGTTGGCATTTGCTGATGGGGAGCCGAGATGCTTTATAAAGACAGGCTATGGGGGTTAAAAAGAGACTATTAAACTTGCTTGCCATCCACCCTAGAAATAGTCTAGACATCCAGCAGTAAATTTGTAAAGGACAAAACAATATCCTTAACTAGCATAAAAAGGCAAATATGTGCGCGTTATCTGTATTACAACAGTACTGACTAATGTTTCTATGTATATGTCTCAGCAGTACCTAGAAACAAAACAACAGGGGATCTAGGATGGGGCCTTGGGGGTCACCCAAGGTCAGAAGAGTTTAAGAAAAACATCAAAAACAGTTTACAAAAGAGTTTTGTCTGATGAATTTGACCTGGACTGGTCTTGAGCAGTATTCCTGATATAATTCCATCTAATTTTGGTCTGAAACCTGTACAACAACTGGCAAGAGTAGGAATCTAAAAAACTCAAGCATACTACAAGTACAAGATTGTTTCCTGTTTGGTGAAGTGATGCTGCTGATACTTCATTAAAAAGATTTCATTATAAATCATCAAAGGATCATTTTTGAAATGCACAACCTTCTCTTACAGTTTTTAACAAGGTAGGCCTGCACAGTGGGAGAAAAATTAGCTTTGTGTGATAAATTGACAATTAATGAATGAGTGTTACCTCCCTGTGACTTTGTCTGTGTGCTGTTATTTAATTTTTACACTATGCCTGTGTGACATGCAACATAGATTCAGACTAATTCATCTGAAGGTTGTCAGTGGCCTATAAATACACGAGTGTTTGATTAAAATACTGTGGGCCTTGTGGTTTGTTCTTTGCAAATGCTCATATTGGTCTAAAACTGTGATTTAATGTGAAACCCTGATGGAAACAGATCTGAAAGTAAGAAGAAAGTCCCCTAATGCTTAAACAGTGACAAACAAACCAGTGAGCAGGGAGCTATTTATGCCTTAAGTCCATTAGCTGATTAGTAAATGGACAAAAATAATGAACAAGTTTTTTTATGACAAGCAATACTGAAGAGCAGTAAATCCTCACTTTGATCAGGCTATTGCAAAATCAGCAGAAGACACTCAATCATTTCAGCCTAATTAATAATTTCACTATTGTTTCTCACTCAGATTTTGATTGTGTTTCCTTTTGTTTGCCTTTCACACCGCCTATGATATGAGTCAGTCCCTCAGATTTGCAGGCTTATTCAATAATGCAAGACCAAAGTGCTTGTGTTGTCGTCATTTATCAGACACAAAGAGCAGGATGAGAGCCAATTCCATTCCTTCGTCACCTGATGTTGTCTCCTAGGACTGCAATTTTGGCAGATAAGTGTCCTTATCCTCAGGTGACATCGGACCCACCTTGAGGGAAAATCCCTCACATTGTGTTACGCTTGCTGCCATCTAGACAACACCCGGACTTACTGTTTCCACAGACATCCATCATATCTCCCTGGACACAAACACATGGGGAAGATAAACCAAGCTTTGTTCATGATCATTCATTTCTGCTTCTGCTGCTCGTGCAGTCTCCTCTGATCCTCCTATAAGGCAGGACAGACCCAATAACATTTCTGTTTGACAACACGCTTCAACTCTTCTTCCTCGCGCCAGTGTGTTTGAATCTTCAAGAGAAAATGTTTGACAGATTTAAGTTTATGACAAAAGATATGGGCCGCTCCATTTGTTTGTGAGATGAGAGCAGGGAATAAAGGCGTATCGTTTTTATGCCTCTGTCAAAAACATCACTGACTCCCAGATCATAACTGCACCTCATAAAAAACATGAAACATTTACTTATACTTTGCTGATGAAGCTCATTTCAGATTCCAAATTCACTGAAGGCTCAGAAATCCACCAAACAGCCACATTAAGCCTGTGAGTGCGCACCGCTATTTACCCCCACTATCCCTCCCCCCCTTCTCCCAATACTCCCCGCCTCCCATCACCGACCTGCTTTCAAGCCCCACTGGCATTCCTCTATTGAGCTGATGAAAGAGATAGCTTGGGTCTTGCACTAATGAATTGGCATTATTATTAAATGATGTTTGTAAATTATGACCCAGTTTGCTCCCAATGAATGGCTCAGAAACTCAAAACCCACATCGCCAATTAGGAGCTCACAGCAAGTGTGAGCAGTAAGTTGAGGAGGTGAATTTGGATTTTGGATGCAGGGTTGGAGTATAGAGGATTTATTTATAGCTCACTGGCGCTACCTTGTGGTCTAAACCAAAACATACTTTCCCAACGCTGTCCTGGAAGCGATACATTACTACATTTTGACATTCCCTTTTAAAAAACCAAACTCTTCAATCTTAAGATGAACAATTAATCTTGTTAATTAATCTTCACCATATTAAACAAAAATCAGGGTTCAAGAGATTGATGTTATCCAGATTATCTGCAGGCAGGATCAACTCAATGAAAAACACACGCTTGAAAGTCCAATAGTGCCTCCTTAATTAGGACTTATTTTGTGTCCCATTCTCAGCCACAAGGGGGAAGAAGAGGGGAGCAGATGCAGGCTTCTCATCTCACTGATCAAATATTTCCTTTTCATTTGAAATTCTGCTTTGTGGCTAATGATGTTGACAACAACTTCAGTCAACTTTTGATAATCCTGATGACTGAACATTTGACGAAATGCAAATGAGCAAATGTTAATCCGTCTTTTTATCCCCCCTTGGTTTTTCAGATGCATATTTTTTAAAGCTTTCCTCCAGCACTGTGTTGATTATGTGTTAAAGAATGGTGCAGAGTTAGACTTGAGGATCATCCACACAGAGACATTTATGGGAGAGGGGGTGATATCTAAACTCGAGCACGTCCAAACTTTGAACTTCAAAGTGATAACATCTAAACTTTTTTTTTTTTTTTTCTGTCTTAAAGTTGATTTATTTTCTTTCAAGTTGCTCCAAATGAAGCACAAGCACTTGAATACTATCCTTCTTCCTCTCATAATTACTGTTTCCATCACACAATATTCAATTTTTGGAAGAGATGAAAGCACATTTTTCTTTTTTGATATCAAAAGTTGGATTGAGACAGCTCTAAATAGTTAAATTTTCATATAAAAAAGATGATAATGAACACAATTAACCATCTGAACTACAACAATTTGTAAAGTATATATTTTGACAACTCCGAACAAACATACTGAATGAGTTCCAGGTGCAACTTTCCGGTGTTTGAAGCAGGCATACCACCACTCTTCCCTCCTCACTTTCTCTCCTCTAGCTTGAACAGCTGTGTTGACAATCCACATTAAAATGACAGTGGGATTTATCTGTGACAGCACCCACAGCGAACCAAGGACGCAACAGGATGTGGCTGTTTGTTAGTGAGATATTCAAAACACTGTGGAATATCCCATGGATCTGCGGGTGACAGCGCTAAGTGACAGTCGACAGTGTTAGTAGTTTTATTTGTGAACACATCAGAAAGAACTAATGGATCCAACTCTGATCATGTGAGGTTCGAGACATTTATTTTATGAGTTTTGATTGGAGTCTATCTCAAATGGATCAATTTGCAATCTAGATTAAAGTGCCTGTCGAGAGAGATTTAAGTCGTTTCCGCCCAAAGAACCTGGAACCATTTTTTCTCAGGAAATACTTTCAAAGTAACTTTATGGCTCTTTCGCATCAGCAGGAATAATGATGAACAAACCTTCTGTGTACAAAACAGATGATGTTTTTAAACAGTGAATTCAATAAGGAAATTTCAATTCAAGCATCAAGTTGACTTGACTTTGAATTTCCCCATCATTAATCTACCTTCCTAAACCGTCTGTGGGTGTGGGTTTAGTACCGTGTTGCACGGCTGGCTACATTCCTCTGCCATACTTCACTGACCAGACGTCTCTCCCACGCAGCAGAAAGGCGATGGAGCGTTTCCAACCGCACTGTCAGACTTTGACTAGATCTCTCTCTCTCACTCTCTTTTGCCCCAAATTTCAAACCAGCGGTGAATTATCTGTCCTCATCAGCCTTGAGTCACACAATGAGAGCAGGAGAAAACTCCCAGGAAAGGATCCTCTCATTCTCAGGGATCTCTTTCAGACGTTTTGTGTTTTCATATCTCCCCCGACCTCTCAATCTACTCTTGGTATTCATATTTGCTTCTGCATCTGCAAAACGGCTCTATTTAAATTCGGCAGTATTTCATCAGATCGCAGTAATAACACCATTCAATTTGGCATTTAGCGTTATGTTCCACCCATGCCGGGGACATAATGGAGGATAAACTCACTTAATGCCTATTTTTGCGGAGCAACCCTGCAATTTGATGATGCCGGGTTACAGTGCATCCCTGTAAATGGCATTCGGGAAAATATCCATCATTTAAGGGCTCTTATTATTTTCTTTATGCTGCTTTAAGTGCCGCTAGTAAAATTATATGACACACATTGCTTCCTTAAATGTTTATGTGTGTAAGTTTTACTTTCACCCAGGGTTATGTATGTCTGTGAACTTGTACAGTCTCCACTTTAAATGAATTTCACAGCTTTGTCTTATCCAGACAGCAGCAGTGGGGTTTTAAGAGGAGGAGGGGGTCGCATTCCAGACCCTCTGAGGCTAAAAAGGAAATGATGTCAACCTCACCCAGACTACCATGACTCATTAGTTTCAGGCCGTGCTTTAATGTTGCCCTACATTTGGACCCCTGGCAGCTACCACTGTCTTGGCAGTGCCATGGAAACTCGATGAGGAAAAACACCTCAGCCATTACATTTCTGTCTCCACACCCATTTTCATTTCAGTTTTTTATATTTTTTTATTTTTTTATTTTCCTGTTTGAAACGAGAAAATGTTTTGATCATGCTTGTCCAGGCTGCTGACAACACACTGAGTTTCTTTTTCACAGTTCTCTTGTGATGCAAGTTAGTACCTTGTTAGTGAGCTGTAAAGTCCTTCTTTCTTGCCATACATTCCTTTCTAAAACAGCGTAGTTTGGCATCAATTTAGAGCATAATTGAGTTTTAATGATTTTTAGGTTGGCACAGAAAGTCACGAAAGCTTTTTCATTCCATCACAGCTCACTTGAGAGCAGTTCAAGATCCTTTTTGCCTCGAAACGTTTAATTTCACTGCTCTAACTGCAGCTATTTACATTTTTTCTTCTCATGCAGCTGTATTGCCAATCCATCCATCGTCTTGACCTCTTTTCCTGTAAGGGGTCGCAAGGGGCTGGAGCCCATCCTAGCTGTCATTGGGTGAGAGGGAGGGCGCACCCTTGACAATCAAACCATACAAGTTTAAAACCTTTTAAGAGTTTGTTCATTTTGGCTGAGTTCCTATCAGATACTTCCCTCTCTTTTTTAAGATAAGATCAGATAAAGCCTCAAACCACTTTAACCTACACAACATACATGCAGCAATAAGGCAGTTCCTGTGCGTGGAGGAGTGTGTGATTTTACCAGCAGAATCAGCACTTTGTGGGTGGGACAGAAGGCAATCAACGCACCCAGCCCTGGGTGGCCATATGTGTACATTTAAGCGGCTTCCTGCACAAGTGTAAATTATAGAAAATTGTATGTGAATGCTCACGTAGGCAAACATACAGCAACCACTGATTGACCCCGGTTATTTCAGCCCACTGAGTAAATCAGAATAGAGCCTTTAAATAGTCCACGTGTGTGCAGAGATGAGTGGGTAGTTTGCATGTAGAGGCATATTTTTACTGACTATCATGGCTGAAAGTCAGTGCTGGGAAAAACTGTCCAGTTTGGCACCATCGAATATGATTCCTCCAGTAAATTTGTGGACGATGCTCAGTTGCTCAGTTATGCACATGGATCGAGTTAAGGTCAGACAGGAGAAGCTCTTCCAATGCATTTCTGCAAGATAGTTAAATGCGATGGATGATTTGGTCATCGTTTTTGGATGTCTGATGTTCCAAATCCCCTTCCAGTTCACCTCAATCATCTTCAGCTCTGTCAGAAAGCAGAGGTCAACCCGAAAAGATTTGTCCCCTGTCTAAGATATATATTCATCCACCTTTTTACAAGCATTCAAAAGCAAGCCAAGATAAAGACATGCTGCAAATAATGTCGTTCTCTCAGGACTGCAAGATGCATTGCAGGTGAAGATTTTCAGTAGATGATCTTGAAGAGTTTTGTGAAGTTCAAGGTTTTGAATTTTCAGTGGCAGTCCCTTTTCATCAGGGTTATTGAACTCAAACGGTGTGTTTTTAAAGACATCTCATTTCTATGCTTTTTTTTTTTTTATTTGCAGTCTTTAAGAAGCTCAGAATAAAAACATTTATCGACTGAAGGGAAAGTATCTGTAAATGAAAGCTGCTAGATTCCTCTTTTATCAAGCCTCTGTAACAGAAGGACAGCTCGATGGGAGCTCTACAGTATGCATGAGTGCAGATTAGGAAGCCCTGTAGGTCAGGCTGTACATAAGAAAAGCTTCATGTACCAAAGTGGAAACATATGTATGCTTTCAGACTGCACATTTTCTGCAATAAATCATACATATTGTGGAATATTGCCACATAAATGTGCTCTCTGGCTTCCTCCAAGCCACATAGAAGAACATATCAAAAAGAAAAAAATATTCTATGACTATTTAAAACATTTTTAATCAGTGGTCTCACATGCTTTTAAAGTCTGAGAAGAGAAAGTGGAGAAGGAAGAGGAAATGTACAAAGAGAGATCTGAGAGAGAGGGGAACTTTTGAACTTACAAACCAGTATTTGCATTCTGGAGAGGCTGTGTTACTGGAGAGAGATGAGTGCTGTCACAACTCCCCCAGTTTTCTAACCTCTGTGTTTGTGTGTTTATTGGGGGAGGTGAGAAGGTGGGGAGGAGGAGCTGCCGTGTGTCCTTCACAATGACCAGCACTTGGCTTTGGCTTTGTGCTCTCACTTGTTCCCCAACCAAAGCTTGACCTTCAGAGACTACATTTACAGTTTTATTTGATCCCAGGTGGTCAGGTTTACTCTGTAATTGGAATAAACCAACCCCGACATTACGGAGGGCAGCACCTGATGGCTGAAGAAGCAGGGAGTCATCTCCTGCCTTGGGGTCCCTGCAGATTTGCTTCTTCAAGACAAAGATATCTCTAGTTTATTGATATTTGGAAGTATGTCTGGCAGAAGATTGGCTCTGTGTTTTTGCTTCCTTCCTAACATAAATGCGCATAGAGGTATTTGAGAGATGCCATCTCCACACATTACGGGCAAAACCCACAGGATCTAGAACAGCTCTGCTCCACTCCGGCACGGCAGGCGGATCAAAAACGAAAGGCTCTTATTTTTGCCGGACGCCTGAGCAAGGCACATCAATTCAGTGATTCGCAGCACAAGCAGCAATGGAAGTTGTATGCGGTTACAGACTAAAATATCTGGTTAATTTTCAAAATTAAATAAGGTCAACACGTTGAACTGTTCTTAACTTGATAAAAGGAGAGGCCAGGGTTGTGGGATGTGGGTGTTTATGTACACCGATCGGCAGATCTCATTCTATGACTCCAGGGGAAACACGCAAGAGCTCGTGAGATCTCGTCCAGTCTTGCGAGAAATATCGGCAATCTCGCAGGCGCTTCTCCTCTGATGGCGGTGGGTGATCGGATCCAGTGGGCGCTATATGCTTGCGGATCTGATCCACCTGCTGGTCCGAAGTGGAGCGGAGCCATTCTGGATGCAGGGGGATTTCTGGGTTAGGGCCCCTGTCCAGTCAGAGAATCAAACTAGGACCCTTTTTGCTGTGAGGTATCTGGTCACCTTGACCGTAACAATGCAAAGTAGTGCAGAGGACAGTCTAGCTAGGGGTGCTAGCTAGACTAGCATCTCTAGCTAGCATGTGTGTAATGAATAGGCTGTCTGAGAACAATGTACTGTAGCCGACAATAGCGCACACAAGACTGCCACTAGAAAAATAAGCTATAGTTTTGTTTTGTTTTTGTTTTTTTTGTTTTTTTTTCCACAGCAAATCAACTCATAATGTGAAATTATCAGTACAAATACTGTATGATGTCCTTAACATACTGTTTCGTCTTACTTGTGTGACGAGTGTCTGTAGATCTGCAGTTAAATATCTGATACCTTAAGAGTGCAATGCAAAAAATTGCATTTCTCTACTGGCAGATAGAAACCATAGAAGCTAACGGTTGCCATGGAAAGAGGCTAATTTTGACTGATAACTGATTAAAGGAATGTATTCTATATCAAACTGATTAATACAACCTGACTGTAAAACAATATAATACCATGTTTGAACAGAATACAGACCAGTGCTGAAACTGAATTTAACATTTTTTTACATTAGGTAAGGTCCTTGAGTCCTTTCCTGTATTCTTTAATCTCTAGAGACAACTTGAAACCATCATACTTCAGTTGATTGCAGCTTTCTCCATTGATGCAAAATACATTTTGTTCTGAGAATCCACTCCCTCACAGTAACTGTTTACAACATATATACCATGCCAGGGGAATCTCCCTCATGAAAAGTGATATTACAGTCTTCCCCGGCTAGTTACCCTCTCACCAGATCATAAACCAACCGTCTAAGTAAACTCCAGAAAGTTAAAAGGAAAAGAGGGATGTGGCAGCGCGCCTATACGGAGGCCAAATGCCACAACACTGAGCTAAAGACCACAACCACCAGTGTGGAAGACTTTCTTTGTACATCCACAGAGGTATCCAATCCTCACTTGTGGTTGGTCTTTTAAGTCAGAGCCAAAGGGCCAATTAAATGGATTAGGGTGGATCACCACTGGTCATGTCTTGATGTGCTGTGGTCACCAGATTGCCAGTCTGCTGCTGGGTTGCCTCTGGCTCCACAGAGGGCAACAGGTTCACATGGAATAGATGGCTGGAAAACAAACACGCCCCGACTGTGGGACTCTGCATCTTCAGTGTCTGATAGGACTGGAGGAAGAAGTGCTAACTACAAATCCAACAAGAGCCACACAACTCAAAACATACAATTATATCCTACCAGAGACATAGACAGGCACTTAGAGAAAGCTCCCAGTGGCATGAGGTCAAGAGCGAGCAAGACAACAGTAATGCTCCCATGACACGAACGCTGCGAAAACCCCGTTCCTTTTTGTCTCTTTAAGGAAATGAGGCACGCACCCAAACACATAAAAATAGTTCAGAGGTGCTGTAAATATAGAGCTCAGAGCTCACACTGGGAAGAATGAATGCGGTTGATTCATTCCGTGTTCTTGGGTGAACCTTGTATATGCCTTGTGGCAAATTCAGGTGAGTCAGTCTTTTATTACAGGTTCAGAGAGATAGCTGCGATGCTGTTGTGTTCTTGAAACCGACAGTACGCTGAGGGCGTCTTTGAAGGAGCACTAGGAAGTATTTCCTTGATTTTACCCTCAGGTTCTTCCTCACTTGTAAAGCTGGAAACATATTAGGTAGTGACAGTTGTTCAGGAAGTAAACGGGTTTGGCTGAGAATCAAAATCTGTGATAATTAGCACAGATTCTCTTTTTGAAAAAGCCACTCTGAAATTTGTTGTTGTTTTCTTTTCCTTTTTTGTTTTTCCTGGGGCCTTGTCTCTAAAGAAGAATATTTTTAAGTGTTTTATCAGTAATCCTCTGTACTCACAGCCCACAGACACACCCTTCTAAATGTATTTGTTTGTTTGTTTGTTTGTTTGTTTTTTCAAAAAATCATTTTTCTCTTTTAATTTCTTTTATTTCTTTGTTTTACATTGGGACCACATTTTTCACTTGAACAGTGTTAATTTATGTTGACTAAATTTTTAACAATTCCTGAAGGAACTACACTAAATTTAATAAAGTTCAACAAAGTAGAAGTTGAAGTTTTAACTAAATATATAAACTGTATTGGTCCTGTGAATCATGCTCTACCTGACTCATTCACCAGTGATGATGATCCAAGATGAGAAAGCTCCGAATGACATCAGCATCAACCAGCTGCACATAACAGCTGTATGAGACAATCATATCCACATCTTTAAGCAGTGCAGGGGGGACCTACTGAGAGACCCCCCGCTGTCAGAGCCTGTGTCAGGCACTGCAGCTAACCAGACACAGATATATAGTGGTTCTAAAGTTCAGTCCTCGAGGCCCACTGTCCTGCATGTTTTGGATGTTTCCCTGCTCCAACACACCTGATTCAAATGATTAGCTCGTTATTAAGCCATTACAGAGCTTGATAACGAGCTGATCATTTGAATCAGGTGTGTTGGAGCAGGGGAACATCCAAAACATGCAGGACAGTGGGCCTCGAGGACTGAACTTTAGAACCACTGTTCAAAATCATTAGAAATGAATGGTAATCCTTTACAAATTTAAAAGGATGAGAGAAAAAAATACCATGAATCACTGAAAACACACATTTCACCCAAGACAGTCCATGTTTTACAGTTTAATTCATCTTTGTTTTCAAGTTCTGTGATTTTTTTTTAAGTTTTCAGCAGCATTGAAATCATAGGGCCCTAGCAAATAAACCGCTACACATTTCAAACTGTCCTTTGCCATAGATGGTTACATAAGGGTTACAGGGGTTGTTAGATGTTTATTTCTATCCTACAGTTGAAAATTAAGTTAAAATAATGCAAAACTAAATGAGAAATATTAACTTGCAAGGGTAAATTCAGGGACACTAAAGTTTTTAAGAAGTCAGAGCCTCATGTTAAAGACTTTGTCAACAAGCTAATCAACAAGCAGTGGACTTCTTCAATAAACTCCTGAAAATTAATTTATTTCTAGATAAGACATTGGGATGGTTTAACATTGATGAGTAACTTTATAGTGTCGCTACAAGGCTGACTGAGTTTCATCGTGTGCATCACACTTTAGGGCGATTAGACTTCTTCAACTTCACTGTGTTCTCCAACCATGTGCAGACTGTGCTCATCATGGCATACATGTCCAGAGAAGGGATGATATTACAAGGCTTCAACTATTCTTCACCAACTTTGATCTGATCTTGGGGGTTAAAGAGGTCAACCCGATTGGACCACTCAGCAGCAAAGCAGGTTTTTGATCTGTCTGTGTGATGTTCCGGAGTTAAATAAACGAAAAGGACCCAAATGCAGGACGACAATAAAGGGTTTATTTAAAACTGACTAAACAGGAAGCAACAAAAACAAGAAGCAACACACAGGCATACACTGAACTCGACGTACACACGTACACACAACAATGAACCAACAAAGAAACAGGGGAAGACAAGGACTATGTACACACAGGAAAATGAGCAACGAGAGGCAGGTGAGACACTGAGACACAGGTGCAGACAATTACTGAGGAGAGTAAACTGAGGAAGTAAAACAAGACTAGAAACACAGGGAATAAACTACTACAAAATAAAACAGGAAACACTGAAAACTGATCTAAACAATAAAACACTGAGAACAAGAGGAAAACAGGGTCAGACACAGACTAAAAACTCACAAGATACTACAGGGGAACAGGAACAAAGGGGAACAGAGACACTGGGGAAAATCACAAAGAAAATACACTCCAGGGAAACACAAAACCAGGGAAAAACTAAATCCACAGAACGTCATGACAGTCAACTTTTGATGCACCTCAATACTCTTGATGGTCAAAGCCTGTAAAAAGTCACAGAGAGTTCAAACATCACTGAACTGGTGACTCTCCCATGTGTTTGTGCTGCGGTGTTAACTGGTTTATCTCTTTGGCCACCATAAAGACTGATCATGCTGATGAGAACTTTCAGCTCTTACAGGCGTTTGAATATTCCCAAGTGTGATTCATAGTTTACCCCAAATCCCTTCTTCTTAAACAGTAACCAAGTGATAAACAGTACATCTTCAAAACCCTATTTCCTCATTGTCTATAATGAGACAGCCAAGTGTGGGTGGCCGTCTCAGCCACCGAGCCAAAAATCACAAACTAACACTGATGGAAATTGAAAGGAAGTAGTTTGTGTGGAAACATACAGAGACAAAGTCTGTTGACAGATGTCAACAAACATTGCAAGAAGTAGCATCATCTGACTGTGGGAGATTTCACTGAAAGACACATCAGCGCAGAGATATTTCATCACTCTCTTCTGCCTGCCAAAATGTCACTCAATCTAAAACTGTATATCTGTATTTTAAAATCGTTCCAATGCATAATGAGCGCTTAAACAATCTCCAGAGTCTAAAATGTATGCATTTGTGTTTTCACATTTGCATGGATGCAACTACAGTATGTCAGGGCACCATTTTTCATTAGTTGGTGCAGGCCTGATGTCAGAATTTCAATTTTTCTTGCAGCTCATTGCTTCCCAAGAACTCATACAGGTGCTTTTTTTTTTTACCTGTTATTACATCAGATTCTGCACTTGGCTCTTCAATATTGGAAGACTTTCACCTCATGGGTGAAAATGTAAGTTTTAAACTCCTCCATCCAAAGTACTGAGTTGTTCAAAGTTCACTTTAAAAAATGGCACAGACTGTCTGTTCCCACACGGGGGCTCTGGGGGTTTGAGCATCAGCCCCCCTGTTGCTCCTCCCTTTCTAAATACATTGCCTTAAAGCACACATCTTCCACACACACTTGGGCATACGTACGCTGACACCACAGCCCTCCACATACACTCCCACTTTTTCATCTCCAGTTGAACTCTGAAAGCAGACTAAACACACTGAATGATAGTTCAAGAAAACTCTAAAAGAGCCCGTAAAAAGCTGGTTGTGAGACTTTCATTTTCATCTGTGTGCTATAAACAGAGCTCCTGTGGTCTCTGACATTCACCCCTCTCTAATTCTGCTTTTGTCTTGTCCATAAATCAATATCTGTCAGGGAGTGTGGGGCTGCTGATTGTTTTTACAGAGCCGTGCTGTGTAATTTGGTTAAATGGTACGTGCAGCCAGTTGACTCTAGGATGGTAAACAGTCTGGCTGCTAAGGAGAGAGTGTGCTGATCGACTCAAAGCATACAATCACACATAATTGGTATTTTGAACTTTGGATCTATTTTATAAGTTACCTGAGAGGGAGTCATGATTGCAGCCATGCAATAAAGCATTATTTATAGTAAATTATATAACTCTGATAACATTCACCACACCTAAACATATCTGACACATTCAATTCCTTCTTTTCAATTGGCAGCATCTAATCATAGCTCCTAATATGGGAGATTTGTGACACAAAAGCTGGGCCCTGCAGACGGAGATTCTCACGATGCTTTTTAGAGTCAAATAAAGTTCCTGAAAAAAACTTTTACAGTGTGTGAGAGCTGGAACTGTATCAAAAGTCAGTGGTTCAAGTTGTTAAAATTAAAGAATAAAAGGCTCCCTTTTCCACAGCTGGTAAAACACTTAAACTCCCCATATACTGAAGAAACGTTGAGGGTTTGGTAAAAAAAGAAACATATATACTGTATAGTGTGGCTGAACGAAGGTTTGTTTCTCTTGCTGCATTAGGAACTATTTTATGTCTCTTTTTTTTTTTAACCGAGGATTGCTGCCAGTGCTTCATTTTTTTCTTTCTTTTTTCCAAACTTGAAAAAGTTTTGATTCAACCAAGGTCACAAAAATCTACACACTCCCTTCTTTTATAGCCTCTTTATTTTAGGTCAAACCCTGTAACTGTTTTTCAAATTTGGTGTGTAACTGAGTAAATTTAGAGAGTTTTCTTGGAGACACTTCACAGTGAAACCGTAACTATGATAATATTAAGAGCAGTATTTGATGTATTTTTGTGATATTCATTAATCAGTCAATTATTCTTTATACATATAGCACCATATTACAACAATTGTATCCCAAAACACTTTCTAAAAGAGTAGGTCTAGACCAAATGATGTTAAATTAATTTAAGGTTAATAAAGTTAGCAAGTCAAAAAGTAGTTAACTCTAGTATTATGTTAATAATGGCTGACGTTCATGTCCGCTGCATCAGTCAACAGGAACCCGAGAGACGAAGCAGCTCAGGGCCTGAGGCGGACGATCATAGATGATGCAGCTGGGGTCCGGAAGGTCCACAGCAGCTGACCATCTGCAGCATCAGTCCAGAGGAACCTAAGAGACTGAGGAGCTCAGGGACATTCACAGAGATCTGGTAAGTAACTTTAATGGAACATGGGACGTCCACATTAAAAACTGTTAGTCTACTCAGCCACTTTCTGTTTTCTTGTGTTGAGTCCACTCCATCATTAATTGATTGACTTTCATGGCCTAGTAATAGCAAGCACCTGTGAGAAGTGAAATTGAAAATGCTGTGAACGGTTCCCAGACACTATCTGATAGATACGTTTTACTAAAGTCTGATTTCTTCAGATATTTACAAATCAGGACTTATTTTAATGTTAAGATAAAGCTCAGGAAGAAAAATGATACCAATCTGATTGACTTATTTGTTGGCATGTACAAGAGTAAGGGAAATGGGAAACTTGTGTCAAAATTGTAGTCATATATTCAATCAAATAAGAAACATTCAACAGATAAGATCCGATTAAAATGCGAAAAGGAATCTGGACTTGTCATCACAGAGGAGGACTGGTTGTGTAAGTTCTCTGTGCAGTCTACCTCCACCAGTTCAGGCCTCTGGAGAGAATTTTGTCATAGGAATTTGATAAGATATTTTGTAACACCTAAGCTAAAAAGTGTAGGGATAAAGGAGATGGGAGGGGTTCTATGCTGGAGGAACTGTGGAGAACAGCTGGCAGGCCATGTCATGTATTTTTGGGATGTCCAGTCATTCAGTCATATTGGCAGGGGGTGACACGGGCAATACAGAAGGTTTCTGGTGTTGAAATTGACTGCTCCTTTCCAGCAATCTAGTTGAGAAAGATTGTAACTTTCTTACTGGAGCAAGACAGGTATCTGTGAAAGATTCTACTGGCGGCCAGCAAGAAAGCTGTAACACGAAGGTGGATGCAGGCAGTTTCCCCAGCAGTGACTAACTGGATAGATATTGTAAATACTACACAGCATATGGAAAGAATGACCTTCTCACTAAATCACCAGGTGGATAAATGTCTGCAATACTGAGATGAATGGATTGTGTTTGTGAACTCACAACCTGATGTTTGAGCCATTGTTGTATGATATCTGACATGTATTTCTATTGTGATAACAACAACAGCATGAATGTATAGGTGACCAATTGTTTGCTTCAGCATGTTCAGTTGAGTGTTTCTGGAAAAAAAAAATAAAAATAAAAAGATAGTGCTGTGAGTAGACACGGGCCCCAACTAAGCGACATAACATTCATGATAATACATTTTAATAAGAGTGAAACTTATTGACATCATATAAGTAGCTCTCTGGGGCATCTTCAGTGTAACACTAGCATGAGGCCTCTTACTGAATCTTAATTTTTAAGGAATTTCAAACATTTGGGCACTATGTGGAGGTCTCATTATGCCCAACAACATTTTACACAAAGGGAGTTTTGTTTTAGCTCTCATACATCACATTCCTGTATTTTTTTCCCCATGATCCCTTTTTTTTTAAAGAAATGTGGAGTTTAAAGTCTTTGAACTGCCGACACAAAAGCAAAACTCACCCAAATCAACACACACATAAATATACACACTGTGTTGCATCTGTGTTCAGCTGGATTGAACGTTTCCTCTCTGAATTTGTCTTCCATCCCAGTACTTTTCCACTGATGTCACTTTGCACTCTGCCTGAACCCGGATACCCACACTCCCCTGCCCCTCTCCTCCAAAGATCATCTGAGAATTTACAGTAAGTGAACCACGCATTATGTTGTATATATCACATGCACACAGCTGGCTTGGCTCACATGCTTACTCCACATGGACTGATCTGTTCTCAGACTAGAAGAATGAAAAATATGTTTAGTCACATTGAAACACTTCATCCTGCTTACTGTCCCTACAAAGATGTAGCTTCACACAGTTAGCATGTCAGCTCAGTGGACCTCTTCAGCTCGAAAACAATGAAAAACCCATCAGCGATCTGCAGTGTTGCCTTTAGAAACACGATTCCTCATTGTGACTTACAGGAACTATGGTGTTTGTTTTGACTCAAGTCCACATATAACTCCACCCTAGAGCCAAAATACTCACTATGCTGCACAAAAACGTATAAAGGCGCATGTGAAAGTAGTTCCCAGCTTCCTACAGCAGGAAATTAAAAAGGAATTAAAAAAAAAAGCATTACCTCAAACAATATACATTCCTGAGCTTTTTATTGCTTATTCTTTATAGTTGAATACAAGTTACTCTAAATATGGACGGTGCAATGGGATTTATGATCTGAGACATGATTAAAGGTGGTATGACAAAAGATTCAGGCCAAGAAACATTAAAAAAACAAAAAGAAGAAAAGCACTTAAACATCAAAGTGATTATAGAAAAGTGACTATAAATTCCTGCTAACAGCTTTATGACCTTCATGTTGCACACCAGGTTATCGTGCTGTATCAACAATTTTTCAGCTGCCACATAGAACGATTGGATTCAAACCACGGGCACCAGATATGACCACACACCGACCGGCCTCAGGCACTTGCAGGCTCTCATCATTGTAAACACTTAATTTAAATCCTTTGTTTAGTCAGAACCAGCGTGGATGCCACAGTAATGTCTTAATCACTATCTGTCGGCGGGCACCCTGCAGTTAGTGGCACGCCTGAATTTGCTTTGGGTAGAGATCACGTTTCCCGTTGACCCAAAGAAGGGGTGTTTGAACAGAGTGTTTCTGACCTCCTGGTGTGACAGGGTTCGACTTGAAAAACATGCGCTAAGCAGTTGAATACTCTTATAATTCTTACATAAAAAAGAAAAATCAAGTACAACCTGTGTTTAGATTTCAAAACCCCCATTCTTTTTTTATTTTCTGTCTCACTTTAGATTTTAAAAACAGTGTTTCTGTCTTTTGATTGAGCTATTCTTCTGACAAACCTGCCAGTTAACAAAATATGCAGGTTTCTGTGCAAGCCTGGCCCGGATCAATGTCACCTTTCAGAGGGGCTGAGCACAGGGCAGAAGGAGGGAAATGGCGGCCACAAAGGGGCTCTTTCAGCAGGAGAGCCTTTCCCCCATGCTGACCTAAATCTCCTCCTCCTCCTCCTCTCCGCTCTGCCTGGGAGCAGCTACTCAGACATTCAGCCTTCATGCAAGCTTCGCAGGGAGCAGAATTGTGTGCCTGTAGTCATAGAGGCAAGCCTGAGGGGTCAAAACATGGACCTTGAAGGGGGGTTTGAGTGTCTAGACACTTTGGGTGCTAAAAAGTAATAGGATTTGATAGAAGGGTCAGACCTTGAAGTCATAAATAAAAAGCACTGACCCTCCTTTATCGAATGGATCACCTGTTTTTGGTTGCCTTCATTCAACATGCTCCCCCTCTGTTCTGTCATCAGCCCTCCAGCTCTCATGGGGTTACATGAACATGCTTGAACTCAGCCCTTAAGGTAGAGTGAACTACACTCAGACTGATGTACATCATCACACCACACCTTAAACACTCAAGTCCTGCAGTGGAGCAGAACTCTAAAGCACACCACATTGTTTTTAGGCATGACAGGGGATACTTGACAGACTCAATGATTCACCATTACAGTGATAGCACAATCAGAAGCGATAATGTGGCTGTGATCATTCCCAGACATTGCTCAAACTCTGCCGGGAAGATCTGCAGGGGCTGTTTTTTTTTTTTTTTTCTTTTTTATGAGGTCACTCCAAGCCAAGTCAGTAAGTCGGGTCTGCTAAGGACATGAAATAAGAACCAGTCAATATACAGTGTGAGATGTTTTTATGATGCAATAAAAAGAATACAGTAGTTTTGTATAGACTTTTATTACTTTTGACAATAAGTTAAAAAACTTTTCTGAAAAAAAAAAGTAAAAAAAAATCTGTCTCTCAAAAATATTGCAGAATGTGTTTCAGGAAAGCGATTGAAACCAACCAATTTTAAAGAAGGACAAAAACAAATCTTTTCAAGTAGAACAAAATACTGAACTTCATTTAAACAGAACTCATATTGAATTCTGCTGTCTTATTTTTTTTTTTTCTGTGCAAAATTCCAAAAATAGAATCTTTTTCATTGGGCACAAATCCAACTTTAAATAACAAACAGAGTCTGAGCTTTCTCAGGGCAGAAAAACACTTCAAAGTAACACTCCTCCGCAAAGTGACCTGAATCTTTATGCAGATATATTGATGATGAGAGCACCAGTAGTCATTGTTTAGATCATGATGGTATGATTTTTATAAATGGGATGAATGATCTACACCCAAAACATAAATGTAAACACACAGGCTATTAGCATACTAGCACAGTTAAGCTCACTGCTAGCAAGACAACCAGTGTGCTTTCTTACTGGTTACCATGACAGTGTAGAATCATGTATTGCTACAGTACCAGTATATCCTTACAGGATGTTAATTTTGAAACTAAAAACAAGACAGAATGGAAATTAGCATGGAGCAAAAGCATGTTTTTCTTTCTATTTTGTGCATCTTATTTTGTTACTTTCTCGTCTATACTCTGTTTGACAGAGATTCTTTTAATGCAATCATCTATTCTCAAGCGGCTGCTTTGAAGTAGACTTGCATCAGCAAAACATTTAAAGGCACAATAGGTCAAATGACAAAACAAAACGAAACAAACATGGCAACAAAAAAAGGCAAGGCATGGTCAAAAGACTCCTGTACAGTCTCATTTCAAAGCTCAAGGGTCGATAAAAGAGACAGCAATGTAGCGGGTGCCATTGGTGGTGGGCAGGCCTTCGTGTAGATGAGTCAGTCGTCCTGGATGCATGAAGCTCCAGCCTTTCCTTGGTGATTCTATGGAACAGTTATACCTGTGGAAACGACAACCTCCACCCTGATTCAGGATAAGGAGGGTAAAAAAAGACAAATGTTTGAGATTTACAAATTAATTTAAAGGAATAAATTATACAAAGTATAGAAGAGCATCAGAATGGAAATGTGTGCAGAGGGGTCAGGGGGGAGGTGGAGCGTACAGCCCAACCTGTCATAAGTGAGATTGACCCTGCCAATCAAGCGTCATGCTCTGGCTCTGTCTTTCTTGTCCACAAACCCTCTTTTCTACTCTTCTCTCATGAAAATAGGGAGTAAGGGGAGTCAGAGTGTGCAGCTTAACCTGACAGCTGTTATCTCTGGCCTCAACAAGCCTCCCGCCTTCACTATATTTTTTAGACATCTCTCTATGGACTCTTCTCTTTTTTGTTTTGGTGAGTGGGTATGGTAGGATTTGAGAGCTAGCATGGAAGGTGGAGCTAACTTCTGAGCCTCATTGAGATGTGAGACTTACTTGACAAAACACTTAAGAAGAAAGGTGCCCACTTCATAACCCTTGTGACTCTTGGTGTCTCTTAATGCCCAACCTGTACCATCTATTCTTACATTTGGTGTTGGGGCACATTAATGACCTTAAGAGGTTATTTAAGTTCTTGGTAGAGCATGAATATTAAGCGCACACATAGCTACTGTGAATTACTTTTTAATTTGGATTAAATCTTGTTGCCAATACTTTGAAAATTTGACTTAATGTACTCAAAAACTACAAAAAGTATTCATTCAATACCTGAAAGTCTGTGTCTTTGTTATTGAGGGCGATGTTGATGGTGAAGGTGGAAGAGTCGTGATGGGGCCTCAGGTAGGATTGCCTGCCAGGTGTGTACTTTACTACAAAGTTCATGACGGCGTAACCCTGTGACAGAGGAACAAAAACACACAAACGTAGTTGACTGTTCGCATATGTTTGGACAACTCAGTTCCTCTCAGTTCCTGTCAAAGCCCACAGTTTTTTGCTGAAGAATGTCCCAAACTGTACGAGTGAAAACAGATATTTCTTCAGGTTTAGGTTCATGAAAGGAAGGTGGGTTCTGTTTGTCTTTCCTGTATTTTTCCAGGAAGCCAGGCTAACCTTTGTGTAGTATCCAGAGAAAACTTTTAGTGTGACAGGTGATATGAACTCTCTGATGAAGTGCAGCCACTCTTTGTCGAAACCAATCTGCTTCATGTGAATGTCGTCTGTGGGTACTGTTTCATAGCCGCCAGCTATCCGCTTGTCCTGAATAAAAAAAAAGGAGAAATAAAGCTTACTGCTTTGTGATTACCAGTGGAAAAAATGACACACCTTCCTGGATGTGTGTGACCACAGCCTTAAAGAGATGATGTGTCTGTGCGTGTGTAAGCGCATATGTGGGTCTCAAAAACCGCAGGCTCAACTGTTGTGTGCCTGCATGGAGCCTAATGACCCATCCAGCTCAACCATTTCCCAAATGCAGTGAGTCAAAGAATCTGAGCACATTTGTCTCCAAGGCAAACTTTGAGACACGTTACAGACCAATTTCAAACTGTATAAAACTGGCCACATGAATAAGGAGCCATAATAGAGCATCATAACCATTTATTTGTCTACATGTAAATGACAAACCTGCACGTGAGGGTAATAAAATTAAGCATGAGTACAAATTGAACCCCAGTCATGCGTCTGGTTATTTGAATGAGATTAATATAACATAACATTTTTAAAAGGAGTGATAAAAAAAAAATGCCTGGAAAAAAAAAGAGCACACCGAGCTGCCATTAAACAAATTCATAACTGTTGCATTAAAGTTTACACGGCAACATGGGGGACTTTTCCCCTTCCGTATCTCATAAAGAGCTCCATATTAAACTGCATTAGGACACCAGCAATATTAAAATTGTCAATTTATGGGGATGAAAAAAAAGTTTTACAGGCTTTTTAAAATGGATTTAGTGTACACTGAATCACATAAAATAGCAACCTCTGTAGGTTAGGCTAGAAATGATGCCAAAAGCTGCTCACATTTATAATGTCTTTTTTTATTTAGTATTTAAGTAAACAGAGATCAAAAGACAGACAATTTAAAGAGAGTTTAAGGTCATTAATCGAGGAATTTGCCAAAAAACTGTTAAATTTCTTTCAATGTCACATCTTTACATTCTTTTTCTAAAACTATTTAAATGTTAGTATGTCTAGCTACAGCTAATGTACGCATGTTTAGCTACAGCTAGTGTTAGCATATTTGGACAAATTTTTGAATACATAGCAAACATATGAAAACCCTGCCTTATCAGGTTAAGACTGTCATTTCCATGTGATTTTAGCTTTTAGCCAAAAACTCTGCGTCTGTCTTATCATGAACAACAAAAAGCACACAGCAACAAACTCCTCAGTCTAGTTTATCAAAAATGACAAACAACAGGCACAAGATGCTAGATATGTTGGCATCTTCAGCAGTCGAGGACAACTCTACTACGTAAATTAGCTCTTGTTACAGTTTAAGTGTAGCATCAGCCCAGTCAGCTGAAAACAGTAGCATATCTAGCATCCTGTTTCCCAGTAAAGGGGCTGAGCAGACACGTCTTATTAGCATATAACTCATACAGCCTCAATTCAAAAATAAAGAAATATCCCTGTAACTGTTTAGAAGTTTTTAAATGTTTTAGGCTGAATTACGGTCAAAGGATAATGAAAGACTTCTTTCCAGATGTCACTATTTCTGCCCTCTACTGCCTTTACAAAGACCCGAGAGCAGCACCTCATATAAAATCAGTGCGTGTCTGTAGCGTGTTGTCTTCAACTCTGCTCACTGAACCTGAGCTAACAGCACTGACCTCATGTCTTCCTCCAGACCAGGAACCGTAGTGCTCCATCTCCTCCACCAGTTCATCACAGGCCTGCTCTGAAAACACTGGGAACCAGAATACATCTGGACAGGGCTGCAACACACACAAACGCACACAGACACGCACAGACATAGAATTATACACAGCGGCTCAGACAGGCTCTGAGAATAGACTTCAGTCACACCTACACCTTGAGCTATAGTGGATGTAATGCAATATCCAGAAATGTTAAAAACAGATGTTGGACTTTACTGTGATATTATGTCATCTTCTTTCTCTGTCATACAGTCTGACTTAAACAGATGCACTCAAACACACCAACCTCCTCCATGTAGTTCTCGGTGAAAATACGGGTGTAATTTTTGTGGATATACTTCTCCTTCCAGTCCTGAGAGGAGAAAGAATCTGAGATTAGTGGCCAGTTTTTGGACTGTTTGCTGACCTGCATACCACACAGAGATAATCCCCTCACCCACAGAGCAGGTCCCGGGGATTCAAATTCAGGAGTCTTATCACACTAAAGTCATTATTTCAGAATCGTCTCACATCTGGAATATTTCCCTCTAAAGCTAAAACCTTTACAGGTGGCTGCTGTTTATCCCAGCTATTCAGAAAAATGTGCCGAAGAATAATGAGAGATTCTGATGACTTACCACTGGGTTTTCAAATATCTGCCACAAGTCATTGTTATAATGAGAAATGTTATAATTGGCTGTGGAAATGAGCCTCCCAAAGTCGTGACGGTTTGTGAGGTACATGAAGACTCCCTGCAGCAAACAGGAAAAAGTTCAGTTAGTTTCATGAAAGATTACAGTTTAATCATTATCTCACATTTTACAAGAAGTTTAATATCTGCCTAACCATTACACATGCACAATTACAGTACATAATTGTACTGCAGATGATAATCTTAGTAACATATCAATGGTTAGCACTACTAGCATAAATCCTGGCAAACAGTTTCTTGTTGCAAACTACTTTAAAGCTTCATTTGCACAAAAATGAAGAAGTACGATTTAAGTGTGCCGCAACACACTGAAATCTATAGTTTTTAAATTCAGATAGACGCAGATGCCGTATAAATAATCTAAGATTATTTATGGGTGTTGGGGCTGCAGTGGTGGTGGTTTGGAGACTGGAGAGAGTGGGACAGTGAGGTAAAAGGAGTGGGGTAACAGGAACAGAGGGCTGCTAGGGAGCTTAAGATAAAGCAAATCCAGGAATGAAATTCCCTCTACAGTGAAGCATGAGGAGGGGCTGCTTAGGGCTGGATTTGGACTCACTATCAGACTAGGCTTTAAGGAAGACAAAACATGACGAAGAATGATTGTGCAATTTCCTGGTGGCTGTTGTTTGTCAAATGCATATGTTCAAATGTATGATGTGGATGCTATGATTTAGACCAGGATGCATTTTTGAGTCAATAGAAATATTTTGGAGCCTAGTCTGAGATCAGTCATGGTGTTTAAAGGAAGCAGCTGGTTACATTATGTTTTCTGTAAGGTTTGGCTGTTCGGGGTAAAGCATCAGGACAGGGGACTTGCATGTGAACTGACTCTCCAACCGTCTTTCTCCTCCGTGATTTCCTCATGGAAAACATTTAAAAAACAGACCAGACAACAGGTTTTTCTCTCTATCTTAGACAAAATAGATCTGCTTTGAATCAAAAACTCAAGCAAACTGTCAACATCAATTTCCAAAGAGCTGCCAGACATCTTTATGCGAAAAAGGCAGCGAGACAGTAAATCAGTATTTAAATGATTTTTTATTTTTGGAAAATGTAAATGCCAAATTTGTGTTTAGCTTCATGAAATATGCATTTTCAGAATTTAACTCACGGCCAGGTATTCCTTTCATCTTTTGCCTTTGAAAGAGTTTGCTTATGAAATGAGCCAGAGCTCCAAAACTCCTGCTAACCCATTGGAAATGGATGTTTCAGGAAGCAAAATAATTAAAGCAAATGGACACCTTTGGGGGCCTGAGCATATGGAATGATTCCGGAGAAGGGGAGTCTTTTTCTCTGTGACTCGTCTAAAATAAAGGAGAAGCATCATGTAAATAGAATAACATGAATTATGATATCAGAATAAAAGACAGTTGAATGAGGTATGTAAATACGTCACAAACATAGAAACTTGGGAGGAGGATAAATGCATGAAAAAGGAGCAAGGTTCCCTCTGAAGCTGATGTTTTTGTGGATTATTATGGGGGGAATGCATGCTGGGTAAAAGGCAATCCAAACATAAACTGAGTTTGGATCAGGTGCAATATTTGTTTAGTAAAGAAACAAGGTGATAAAAACACAGCTGGGCTAGTTTACGAAGAAAAGGAAACACACAACAGACGATTTTTGTCAGACTGTCAACAAGGCTCTGCAGCCGGGTGTAATGTCTGTGGTTAGGTTACAATGCAGGCGAGAGAAAGTGAGGGCTGATGGGATACAAGTGAAGCAGAGAACATTTAAGCACCACAAAGAAAGCATAAACAGAGGAGGATCATGCCTCAATAGTGTGCAAAGACATTTAAAGCCACTCATACTTGCCGTAGTTTGGATTCTGTTGATCTGTTGGACTTGTGCATTAAAATTCATTGTATTTCTTAGCTGACTAGAACCTAATCATTCTTGCATGTTTAAGCATGTTTCCTGGTGTAAACATCCCTGACTGGACCTTTATGCAGACATATACATCATGATGGCATGTTTAAAAAAGCGTGTCATGACGATGGATGGTTGAGTAAACATACCATTTCTCGGGCATTTCGACACAAAGCCATGTCGGGGTCGAGTTTCTCCAGAACAAAGTAGTTTCTTTCTTTCAGCTCATTCCTCAAAGTGCTGCCCTTGACGAGGTATACATGCGCCATGTAAGGAATGTTCCACACGCCCCTAGAAACAACAAGATAAGAACAGGAGAAAGGAAGTGCTCGTTTTGCATTGACCGTTAAATATGTCGTCTCTGCGTACTGAAGGTGACCCATTCGCAACCAGGCATAGATAGATAACCCGATAAGAAAATGCAAATAATAAAGAAACCCTTTAGCTTGTTTAAAAACTAAGTTCTCTACAGCTGATTAAGAACAATTCAGAGTCCAATCTTATCTTCACTATCCTGCTGTTTTTTCAGCTGCAGCCCAATCCAGAAGCAGTGAAATAGAAACTACTTCTTTGATTAGAGCAGGATTAGCAGACACACACTGTTGCACTGCAATTTTACCGGTTTAACAAGCATTACATTCTTCATTTATCTGAAACAAGTTGTGTTTTTAGAGGACTTGACATCTTTTGGATGCCTGATTGTCTGAATTTGACTGTAAGTAGATCAATACTTAATCTGATTTTGGCCCTTACTGCTTTCCATGTGTAAAAGTTTCTCAGAAAAACATCGTAGTTCACTTATTCCTAACAAAAGCACAAGATCTTTTTTGGTCATGGACACAGAGAGATCCAACTCTGGTGTGTGAACCCTAAAAATGCAAAGCTAGGCCGTGTGTGCCTTTATTGCATATCTGACTTACACACGCTTCCTCTGCACAATGTCGACATAATCCTCAGAGCGAGCGTAATAACCATCCAGACTCAAGGCTCCCCAGAAGTTGGACCACAGCTTGCTGTGACGAGTGACAAGGGGGCCAATTATTTTTCTGTAGGAAAAGAGAGAGATGGAGCAGAGAGATGGTAATTCTGTCAGAGCGGATAAAACTCAAGTGACATCTCACAGACATCTAACCAGCTAATGTACTTGCTCTCTCATATCTAAAGCCAGTGTGATGCATTGATGAGATCGACCTCCCCTTGGACTGATTTGATAACCTGCCAAGCTACCATTAAAATGGGGAACTGTTTAATCGGAACCAGAGCGGAGCAGGGAGTCATCCCAAACTGGATTCAGTTACTGTAAAACAAATCGCTGCAGAGAGACGTTATTCTGACGAATTCCTAGAATTTGAATGATTTTTCCGATGCTGCCTCAAAATCCTACACCACAGAGAAAGACTTTATCTATGAACTTGCCAATAAATGAGCCTGAAATGACCGGGTTGCTTTATATAAGAGAACTGCAGCACTGTATCTAATAAGCCTTAGTTAAAACAGAAAGGCGTTTTTGACCTCTAGCGTCAGCGCCTCAGGGGAATTCGCATGCTGTCCTTGAATAATCCTTGAAACGGTTTGACTTGGGACAAAATGCCATGCCACTGCCACATTACATTGAGTTTACAGGGAGGTTTCTTGAAAATCACGAGCTGCAAAAGGGGAAAAGGGTTTGCATGTTTGTTTTTTGTATAATGAAGAGTGGCATTTCGAGGTTAGAGCAATTGACTATTCCACTCTTTCCATGTGGCCACGCAAAACAGGAAGCCAAGGCGTCTTATTTTTAAACTTTTATTCACTGGGCTGTAATGTTCCTGTGGTTTTGCCACTTGAGGGACAACTTCCAACAGCTCACAATCACAACAACAACCAAGGAGGCTTGCTGACTTGTTTCCAGTTTGGCGTCTCATCAAGATACCATATAATTACCTGTTTTGCTCAATAAGGAGCTTCAGCGTCTGTCTGTTTGTGAGCATCACATCCGAATCGATGCTGAAGTAGAAGTCGCATGTGGCATCTTTGCGGCAAAGATCCCTGATGAAAAAAAAACACACACACAGTAGACAAGGTAGTGATTACTCAATTTGGCACTGATTACACTCAATGAAATACTTGGATCTAATCACAGAGTTGGACTCTCACTGACTATCTTTAAGCTTCCAGTGGATAAATGTGATTTTATGATGATTAGAGGCTGCTAATAAACCCTAGACGTCTTCATTATAGGGCTGTCCAGGCCAGTACTTGTAGGCGTGCTGTGCTTTTGATAGAACCTCTCTGATAAGACCTCACAGACTGAATTATCGCCATGACAACAGACTATTACTAAGCTTTGAGCAATGAGAGAGAGTGAGCTCAGGGGAAGAAGAAGATGTAGAAACTGCATCTGTTAACCTGGCAGGTAGAATATCAGATACACGATTCTGTGCTCCAGCCAAGAAAGAAGACACGATTACAAGCCTGGAGGGTGTCAGTGCTGACAATCTTCCAACCCAAACTGTATTTATATACTTCTAATAAGCTCTGTTTGAAATGAACACCAAGAAGTTTCATCAAATCCATCCAGGGAGCAAAACCTTAACACGATTTGTGGAGACATGAGAAGACTTTTCCTACAACACCTGGAAGTCAAACCAAACAAGCTAAGGTGAATTGGAGCTTAAAACTTCTTCATCTGGTCCAATGACTTCCCTCCTCAAAGCACAACTTCAAGGGTATGATTAAGTTTGGAGAAGAGACACATACATGCCCATGTTCCTGGCCTCTCCTTGGCTCAGATTCTCCTCTGGTCCCACAGCCTTGAAGCTGTGGAACACGTTCCTGTTTTCTTCCCAGAACTTCTGGATGTGCTTCTCGTGGTAAACCTCCTGAGTGGGAAAACCATTTTCACTGGTTTAAAAGACACATCTGTGGAGCTAAACATGGTTCTCCATAGCTAACCAATATAGAGGATGTGCTAACAGCAGCTGCTTACACTTACATTGTTGTGGATGAAAAGGTTGAGTTTATCTTTGGGATAGTCCAAGGACAGCAGGCGTTGAAAGAATTCAGGAAGAAATGGAGTGGGCTGTTCAATGAATATACCAACCAGCACATTTGGATAGTCCTGTTTGGATTAGAGGAGAAATAAATTAGCTCCACTTCAAACAACTCAGCTGTGTGATGGAACATTGTTTACCATAAATCTTTGATGAATTTGACACTTCACTTTGGACATAAACACTGACAACAGTTGCTGTAGACCACTCCCACTGGGACTTTTTTTTTGTGCATGATTTCTTCTCCGCAGTGTTTCACTTTAGTACTGCAACTTTTTAGTTTTACAATCTGCAGAAATACTGCTGCTCATCTCCAGACAATAATGAGTGATATAATAAACCCCTATAAGTATGAACTACTTTAAAAAATCCTAACCTTTAACCCGGAGTGCCACGTATCACCCGCTTCGAGGACAACTTGTGCAGAAAATTACCGCTCAGACAGTAAGGGACAAGGCCGATATAAAGAGAAATAAAGAGAGAGACACAGAGAAAAGAGGAGAGAGGAGAAAACATTTTCCCATGACACACTAGCTCCAGCCCACACAGCTCAGTCTGGATCCCTGATCCTCTTGACCGGTTCACAGCAAAGGTCTAGGCCTGGGATGAAAAGGGCTCCGCGTAGAACCATCTAATTTGCAAGTTCCGCAAAGACTGTGTTTAGGGCACAAGTACCGGGAACTCATTCATCTTGGGAACTCATGCTAGTGTGACCATAGTCTGTTTTGGACATAGACTGGACAGGCATGAAAAGAAGAGGAGAGGTAAAAAGATGGGATATGGTAAAATAAAGTTTATATTACTCATTAAAGCAGACTGGACTGACAACTGGAGTTTTAGTTGAGTGAGAGAGACGAAAATCAGCAGGACTCTGCCTAGCTCTGCACAGAGTAGTATAACAGTGTGCTGCTATGGGGAATAAACCACAACCAGAGCACACCATGAGCTCAGCTAGACTGCCAGTGACCTGGTTTTACCCCAGTAAAACCAGCGTTTCCACATGACATGTTCCTCCACAAGTTTCTGTCCCAGAAACACACAGAGCGGCTATGAGGGATAAAATGTCGGAGGTGCATTTTTTCACGTTTCATTTGGGGAGGTCACTGAGAGCATTTTTCACAGAGAGGCTTTTCATGTCACTGAGTTTGTATTGAACCAGTTCCAGTTCAATATTAAACAGATTTATCTACAGAGCATACAGGCTGGAGATAAACCCACAGTTTATGTAATGTGGAGGCCTAGGGGTTGTGTAATCACAGGGACAGGCTTTGTTGCAACTCTTTGTTTCTCTATCTATCAAAATTGCTGATCAATTTCATGATCTATAAATTAACTGGTAAATCTACTGAACAAACAAGAAAAAAAAAAAAAAAGAGAAAATGTCCCTGTTTCCTAGAGACCAAAGTAAGGTCTTCAGTTTACTTATTTTGTAAAACCTGCAGTCAAAACCTCAAAAACTCGTACTTTGAATGACAAACAAAAGTTGCAAATCCTCGTGTTTAAGACACTTAAACAGACCAAAAAAATGTTGGACAGTTTTGCTGAAAGAATGACAAAAGAGTAAAGGGATTATCAAAGTTGTTTACAGCTCCGGTGACAAGAGTAATCTGGAGAAACAGAGTGGATTAAAACAAGGATCATGGAAAGATTTACAGCGAATGCTACAGAACGAAGTCCTCAGACAGAAGCAGCGTTTGCAAACACTGTTGACTGAAGCAACCACACAGACAGAGACATTTCCTTCTGCCTGCCATTTCTGCTGTCTATACGTCGCCAGACTTGGCTGAACTCTGTGACAAATTTTCAACGTAACCACCGTAACGTCCTATTGTGGATAAAACCCATACTGAAGGCCCACTAAAAGGCAGGCTGGCCGACAGTGACACCCCTTTAAATGAACCCTTCTAAAAACCACAAAAGCCATATCCTGCACCACAGCAGTGCTGGGCTTCCTCTTGCCCAAGGAGTTTCCCTGGCACTTATGCTCTTTTAAAAGGGTCCAAAAGGACCAACGGGCACACAACCTATTTTAGTTGGAAAGGGAGTGTGTGTAGCGGCACCACCAGTCCTGCTTATCTGTCAAACTAGGACATACTGGGCTCCACTCCTGCTGTCTAGACAGACACACACAGTTCAGATGCCTCATCCTTTCCTATGTCCACAAAATACAAACTTTCCACAGCTGCACTTTAAATATAGTACAGCAAATAGAGGAGAAAATGTCTGAGTTTGAAGCACTTACTTTTAACTGAGACAAATCCACGATGTCATCATCACAGTGGCTGCACCCATGCTCGTAGTTCCATGTGTTGGGGACATAGTTGCCCAAGTAGTTCAAGTACATCTGCAAATGAAAGAATGAAGAACACAAATGCCTTAGAGTGTTTTTTAGATGACGTTTGAATTTTTCTGTCTTATTATAGAGACAAAAACTGGGAACTGATCCTGCGACCAGTGCGATAAGGCCTGGAGACCCTGCAGATTGGGTGCCCACAGAGCAAAACCAGTGCCCTTCAGACAAGCTTTTAAGCTCCCTTTTATTACCCAAGTTAATTTTAGCACCTTAACTCTAAATATAAATGTCATTTGCGTTATTTGTTGTAAGAATAAGACAACAGATAAGAAAATCAGATGCCAGATAGAAGTTGCCACAAACATCCCTTACAGTGAAGCTACGACATGATTCTTCAGTGAAATATGTTTTTTATGTACGGGTGTCCCAATACAACTTTTTACTTCTGATATGATAGAGATATTGTAGCCTTCAATATTGGCTGATACTGATATTGATCCGGTATTGGCTCAAACTTGTGCATGACAAGTTATTCAACTTTTTCACTTCTGATACAATACTGATATTGTAGCTTTCAGTATTGGCTGATACTGATATTGTGCATGAAAAGTTTTGCACAAATACTGCCACACGGTTGACATCAGTCCTACTCCTTGCTACTTTGTTTGTACCTTAGTACACACTGTTGTTGTGATCAGATGGCCTCGCATGCTTGATCTGGGGGCTGCTAGATAGAGGTGCTGGAGCAGAGTCTGGAATTGACTGCTTGTATCAGAGCACTGATATCAGAGATATTAAATGTAGGCCGATATAATACGATATTCGCTTTTTTGCTGATATTGGACCGATATCAATATCATATTGGGACATCTCTACTTTATGCCAACAGATTGAGACCATAATTACAAACATTCCTTTACTAGTTTTTGACACTTTTGAGACTGACTGATCAAACTCTAGTGTGCAGAAAGAGTCTGTATTTGTGTGGATAGCTGGGTGTAAGCACTACCGTTGTCAGAAATCTCTTATCACATCCACTAACATCATCAGCTTGAACTTGGCGAGATAACTGGAAAGTCACAATAAATAAATGGTTAGAGATCAAGCCTGACAGCTCCAACAGTAGAAACCGCTGCTTGGACAAGCATTCTGTGATCTACTATTTAGAGTTTCTCCCGCAGATGTTGGAGCCTCCGGGAAGGATGACTCAGTAGTTTGTTGGATTTGGTTCGTTACCAAGGAAGACCAGAGGCAGACGGAGGGTGGTGGTGGAGCAGGGAGAGATGGTTAAAATACCAAACAGGAATGCTGCAGAGTGAATAGACAGACATCTTGCTTTTCAGCTTGTGTAAGCCTTTCACTCTGATATAAAGACAATGAAAAATAGGGGATATATGCACAAAGGAACAACAGCCTGTGTTTGGCTAGATCTGTCCCTGGCACTGAATATCATTTTGGGTTTATAGGCAAGGCTCTTGGCAGCCACTACAGTAGCAGCAATGTTTCTTGAGTTTGTCAGGATCTATACACTGAAATGCGACTGTTAGTGATTAATGTTCAATGGATAAATATCTGAGAGAGTCGAAAACAAACCCGTCTGCAAATGGGGAAAATAGTTTAATAATTCAACCATAAGCTGGTGTCCTAGATAAAAATAATCAACTTGAAAGAATCCATGTGGTGCCAAATGCTAGGTGTGCCTGAGGCCAGAATTTCTCACTCACTTTGGTGTTGCCGTTGCCATGGATAACCACTGGCAGAGAGTCGTACACAGTGTTTCTAACTCTCACTCTGTCTGTTCCAAACTTGAGAAGCACTTCATCTGCCAGAGAGAGGAACAAGAGACATTACAGGCCAGGTTATGAAAATTGATTTAGCACATGAGCACACAGGGTTTTGAAGGTCAATAACTTTTGAGTGGATGCTTTTCCAAGTCTACAAGTTCTCTGAAAACACTGTTAGGATCTTCCCCAGAGTGCGGGAGCTAAACAGATGACTACAACTCTGACTTTTATTACGAAATAGTGTAAAATTCAGTCTCTGGGATTTCTCACCAACTGCCCCATTCAAGTTTTGGAAGATCTGGCACTTATGGTCCAAAGTCATGTTGAGGGACTCCTGAAAGGCACAACAACATACAGTATCTTAGCCATCCAATAGATTTCCTGAGGGATGTATTTTCACACCTAAATGTTAGTGTTGTCTCAAATGACTCACCCGCTTTAAAGGATCCAAGTATATCTTCGTGTAGAAGAGCTGGTCATCATCGTTGTCATGAAGGTTCCACTGGGAAACAATTCGGTTTATGTACGGGGCGTAGCCGATGATACCTGGGAGTAAATAACAGTGTGAGCCACACATCCAGCCGCTAAGTGTAGGGTTGAGGAAAGTTTACAAGGTCATATAGGCTACAACTGCCAGACTGTTGGTGACAATTATACACTATCTGCTAACTTCATACACAAAGGTCTTCACACGAGGAAGCCTCAGCGCCTTACACTAAGTGTGATTCTTGGTAATAACCCCAAGCATGCACAAAGTGGGCAGGGACTCTCTGTTCCCACAGTATGTTGATAGAAAGGATTGACTAAGGGGCAGCCGGCATATGGAAAAGTATGTGCAAGTACCTCACACCCTTTCTAAATGTACTTTCTCATGGTAATCTCCTTTCCAGCTTTGCCCTGTCTTCTCTTTTTCCTTCTTATGCGCCAGGACACTGACCACAGCAACAGATTGCAGGGTTCAGCTATGTCGCTTGTCTGCGCCATTTTGCATCCCATCATTTAAAAAGAAGGCTTGGACACTGTAAACAAAGCCCGAAGGATAGACATGACATAATTTGGCAACAGCAAGGAAAGTTGAAAGGAAATCATGAAATTTTATGGGACTCATATTGTCGGCTGCTTATCCACAAAATGATGCCTTTAAACTCAACAACTCCTGGAAAGCGCTGGGAATCGCAGGGCCTGTTTGACCATATACTTCTGGAAAAATTCCCCAGCTTTGCTAAAAATCGCAGTACGAAATATTCAGACTTTAAATTTGCAAGACAGAAAGTGAGCAGCAAATAAAACATTAATCAATTTGTCTATTTCAGTTTTAAACGTTTCAAGTTTTGTGAGCAGTTTAGATAAACGTAGCTAAATAAACACACACAGCAGCACACAAACACAGGCCTTCTGCATCCTGATCCCTTTCCTGAAACACTGTATTGTTTGTGAAAGTATGTGTCCAGATGCTCTGAAATATTACCCAATGGTCGTTTAGGCGGCAGCTGTATAGAAACAAAACAAAACATGCAATTTTATATAAACTGTGGCCTTTTGTGGGGGCCAAGACAAATCCACATGTCAGGTCATTGACAATGAATGCTAAATACAGTCTCTGATCCTCTGGAGGCAGCTCCAGTCCAGTATGGGAGGTCAGAACAGGCTGATGACCACAGGGAAAGTAGTAATTCTGTGTCCTGAAGACAGACAGGATACAGCTGGCCATGCCATGTGGATTATGTGTGTGAGAGTGTACTGCTGCTGGTCTTTGTCAAAAATCTCTGGATATTTTCTCTCACTTTTTTACAAGCTTGATGTCAAATTTACCAAATTAAAAAATATAAACTCATTTAACATAATGCAGATGTAATACAATACAAAGTTCAGGAGTTCAATGGTCAGGCTGGGCTGAAAGGGAACAAAGTATGCAGTTAACATTCATATGAATGAGCTTCTGTCAGCTCCCATCCGCTCGGACAGGAAATTCCTCAAAGGGTGAGTTTACAGGAAAAATATACTTCCATTTCATTTGAAGAAATAAAGCCCAGCGGTTTTATGTTTTAAGCTAACATCAGTCCATTCTTATTCTCTAGAGGCACCACACCACTCTCTCAAACAATAACAGTGAGGCCGTATGGATACCCATCTGAATTCCAACTGTGCCTGCTAGTCTTCAGAGTCTGACAGCTGATGGGGGTATGTGTAAAACCATGTTCAGCAGTTAAAGGCGTGGGTGCTGAACCTTCAGTTTGAGAATCAATGTCACTGATTAATCAATTAATAAAAAAAAAAATCCTAATAATAATAATCACCATTATGATAAATGAGCAGTTCAACATATGTAGATTAATGTAAGGATTATGACTGTTAAGTGTCAGTTTACATATATAAGCTGCAACATGTTAGCTGAGCAGCAGGCTCACTCCTACATCTGTGTCTACTCAGGAAGCTTCCAGGCACTGAACTGAATGTGGGTAACCTACGGTTTGGCAGCACGCAGAGTCCATCACGTAATCATTTAAGTAACACATGCGTAAACGAGGGAAAGAATTAGACTGGGAAATACTGGAAAAGGCATTTAAGTGCATTTAGTGTCAGTCTAATGTGATGGGTAAACCTACACAAAGACCTGCATTCTTTCTGAATGTGCTGTCTCGGTTGTGGAAAGAGCTGAAGAGGTCGGTTGAACCAAACTTTTAATTCCATCAAAAGACACATAGAAGCAAATTTTAAGTGGAAGAGGCCAAGTTTGCTTTAAAAATCAACAGTTTCATCATTCTCTATTCTAGATAGAAGATGGATTGAAAACTTTACTTTTAAAGAAGACAACTGCACAGCTTTCCCTTTTTTGGGTACAGACATGCACCTTGTTGACTCGAGGCAATCCTCTACTGACTTTCTCAGATTATCCATGATCTTAAAATCTTCTACTAAGCTCCCTGGTTACTGACTGAAGCTGGTAGAGCCTTGCTTTTAGCAGTACTCCAGCTAACCACGTACACCATCTCATGGCTTTGGCTGTCATCTTTCTTCACTGGGATGGCACTGTATCATTTTCAGTTGGTCCCTACATAACTAAGATGTCAGAAAAGCAACATTTGATGTGGGTTTCATTATTTAAACCATGAAAAAACAACAAGAGACACCGAGCTCCTGCAAGAACATGTCCAGGAGCACCACCCATTTTAAAAAAATCTCAGTGATAAAGTGGAAACTTCACTATTGTTTATCTACCTTCTGTCAGCTGACACTGAGGAATTTAGGATCACTTTTACATTATCCAAAGTGCAAAGAGAGCATCAGGACAACCATGACAAAAAGTTTCAACAGACTGAAATGTCAAGGCACTCCAAGCATATTTTGAATTCTTGAAACCCACCTCCAGAGTTGAGGTAGCGCTTGCCACTGCGGATCGAGGGATACTTTTCAGCCAGTCGCTTATCTGGCCATATTAGTCCCTCTGCAGCAAAGAGCACTTTGTGATTGGCTTGTTGGAACTTCCTGAGAATCTCCTCTGGGCCCCCAGCGAAGATAAGATCATAGCTAAAAGGGAGGAGTGAAGATGAAATACAACAGATCATGATCTAGCAGTCTGACAGTTTTCTTAAACACCAAACCTGCGTTCCCACATGACTTTAAACAGATTAACATCTTAATGTCAACAGTGGACATTCTTCATCAGCAGCATTTGTCCAGGCAGGAAAACAGCTGATTCATCCATAGATAATGAATCAGCTGTGACAGATAAAAGAAACACTCCTACCCCTTTTCATAAGTCCCATGGTGGTTTTGAAATACGCTTTATTCAAAGGGTGAATATTTTAAGGATGTGAAAAATTCAAACATTTCTGGTAGTTTCACTGTTGAGTGTGAAGCCTGAACAGTAAAAGCTCTGATGTGTTTCAACGAGAACTTTTCCACAGACTCACTGGCTATAAAACACCCACCTCTACTTGCATCAGCGAAAACAAGTCTAAAAATGTCTCAACCCAAATAAACTGCACTAAATATAAACATTTTTATATATGGTGGTAAGAAAAGTAAAGAGAGGTAACCTTTGCAACCTCAGGCATGGCATGAGAGGAAGTAAAGTCTTACAGGTGAGAAAGGCTGGATGCTTTAGATAATTTATACATGTACTCTTTGCGCCTTAGTGCAGTCGTAAATCACAGCCACTGCCAATGACATCTTATCCCAGACAAAGCAGTTAAAATAACATTTTAACATTCAGTAATATGACTAGAAGTCAGACTCACCCAGTTTTGGTGTTACTCTAATTTATCATCTAAGTTGGTCAAGGAAATTAAAGTCATATGACAATAACAAAAGTTGTAGTCCAGGAGCATGACTCAGCACATAGTCCTCTTTCGGTCACTGGCAGGCGGCACCAAAACAAGAGTCTAAATGAATCTGAATGGTTCCAGGTCGTGGATTTGGTTTTGGATCTATTTAAATCCCCTGGACTATTTTTCCATTCAGTATTTGCATTTGCCAAGACTGGCAATAACTTTTTATTAAACCTTTTAAGGTGTTTGGCTTATGACTAACAGAGGATTAGGACCACATTACAGATGAAACATGAGAGATTTGAAGAATATAGTTGGAAGAAGAAAAAGTTGTAAATCTATGAGAATAAAGTCATGATATCATATCCAGGCTAACCACATAGCCTTAAGTCACGACTTTATTCTTGTAACATAAATGTCAATTAACTATTCAACTCTTTGAACAGAGAAAATATCATCTGATAATAAAAAGAATTCAGTCTCACAATATTATAAGTTTGTTCTTGTTAGTTAATTCTTTTCTTTTGTAACACACTATTTTCTTTGATTTCAGACTTTTGGGTTACATGCTTGCGTTTTTCAGCGATACTCAGGATGATTTTTTGTTTGTGTTGCAGTTACATTTCTGTCAAACAAATTCGCATGAGACAAAAAGGCTGTGGCCAAACCAGAGGCAGTACCTCTCAAAACAGCTGATTCATAGATTTAAAACACAAAATGTCTCATAATGTGAACAGTGCAGTTTACAACAACACTTTTTGGGGGGAAAGGATCAAATATATTCCAATATCTGTTGCAAGGGGTGTGACAATTTTTCAGTTACAGCAATCTTTACTCAAGTGACATGATGCGGTATCATCATCGTCATTATCATCTCTATTTGAAGTCTGCAAAGCTGTGATTACTCCAATCCACTCGCATTACCTCAGCAAAACTTTCCACTGGCCTTGAAAAATCTGCCACTATAATTCAGTTACCTGCATGTGAAAATTACTCTCCTCACATATTTGCCCGTGCTCTATAATAATGCCTTAACATGAATGAGCTGAGGGCAGTTAAGCACCGGTTAGGAGGGCAGGAACAGCTCTCACTGAGGATAAATCATGTTCAGAGTAATCGTGTCAGCCTGTGATTGTGGGAATAAGTTTCATTTCTGATTTATGGATCGACACAGCAATTAGGGGTGTTTTGCTTAGCTTTATTGTCAAGGAGATGTTTTGTAACTCAAATCAAAGGTAATTCAGATCAGAGCTCAATCAGACTGACGTTTGAGATGAAAGTGATACACATAAGGTAAGGAGAGAAAAACAAATAATAGTTTGATCTTTTTTTCAGAGGTGTATTAATCCACTTCCATCAAAGACTGATTTTCAAATAATAATAAAAATCCATACAATCACAGAAAAACCAAATCTTTGTTTGACAACATACCTATCCACTGAGAGGACGATCAGGTCCTCCTGGTCAGCCAGAGCCTCCATGGCCTCCTTCAGTAGTCTGACTTTTTGGCCCCCGCCAATGGAGCGTCCCACATCACCACCTTTCCATGCCTCTCCCATTCCCAGCACCTGAGACAGAACACATGACGGACAAGTTAAAATCCCTGCATGTTAAAGCTTTACCCGGCTGCACTGAAAAAACCTACATCCTACAGAATCCATGGCCCAGATTTTAGTCGTTAGTTTACATCTAGAAACAAAGTGGGGATTCTGCCGTTAAGAGACTTCAAGAAAGAGGCCAAGTAAAGGTCGTGTAATCAGACTGCTCTAAAGGAAAGTGATGTAGAGCTGCATTAGATGATAAGGCAATCATGTAATGGTGGCTACAATTAGAGCAGATCATTGCAGCTAGACTCATGCAAGTCTAAACAGTAACTCATGGACCACATAGAGGAATGGTATTTGTTCCTTAATACAGGAATTTGACAGAGAAAGCAGCCATATAAATACTATAAGCAAAAGTTTGTTTTTAATCCAAGTTCTATGTAACAGCTCACAAAATATCAGTGTTTTTGTCTCTTTCTTAAATCAGTATTCACATTGAGTTAAGAGAACGAGTCAAGTCAGGATTCAGGGAGAAAATCACATTTTAAAATCTTCTGAGATGTGCAGCCAAGATACACTTTCACTCGATCTCAGTGGTTTGTAATGGAAATGTGAAAAGGAAAGTTACACAACTAAAGGAAGAATGGAGGAGTATGAGTCTATAAGTTCACAGCAACCATACACATAACACTGAAGCTCTGACAGTTCCCTGTTTTCTTTGTTACCTCATGTAGTGTCCTTGGATTTTCTGTACATAGCTGAGTGCACTTCCAGCCGCAAGGAAAAATATTAGCAAGAGAAGAATAACAGCAGACTGACTACAGTGAAGGTTATTTGCTCGCAGGAATCGGTACGTAATGGCCACAAAAAGTAGCTTGAATGTGCTGGCAGACAGAAGACAGAGGACTATGCAGATGCTTGGCTGCTCTAACTCTGACTCGTTTTTATAATGTGGCTTCAACCACAGGCAGAGTTTGTGGACCCACATTGAGGAGTGGCTCTTTAAGATGTTTTTTAGACGCTCGCTGCACCTCATTGTTCCCTTTTAGAGGCCCAATCAATCGAGTGTGTTTAAAGCATTTGGTCTGATTATGTGTTTGTGTGACACACCATTAGCTTGGGGTATGTGAGTATGAGAAGAACGTCTTACCTTCACAGTGTAGTTGAAATAGTTTGCAGACTTCATAAAGCGCAGGAAGCCGTCGGTTTCCTCCGTTGCAACAGTTAAGACGAGCAACTTTTCTGAAAGAGAAAGAAAAACAAATTTCAACAACCTTACTTGTATATCTTATAAAGTCATCACATATTATGGTTACCAAATTACAGGGATGTGGGGATATAATCTTGAAGATGACAACTGCAACATTGTATGTTAGAGCTTAAGAGCTCTAACATTTAGATCTTTTTATGGCCAAATCTTGGCTTCAATGGTAATATGTCTAAAATGTGCTTATATATATAAGCACTGAGACTTCAACTGCTGTAAACCAACTTCCTCGTAAACCTCAAACCTATGTCAACAAACTGGTAACTGCTTGGCTTAGCAATCGTAACCTCCATCTCAAATTAGCTACATACATATACAGTAGTCTTGATTTGATTTAAAAGCAGAAGTATAATTTTGAACAAAGACTCAATATTTTCTATCCTTTTTGGGTTTAAAAAAACTCCCACAAGGCTGAAGGACATTTCCAGTGGCCATGAGTTCTGAAGCTTGAGGTCTGAAGACGGGTTAGACCAAATACAAATTAGCACCATCGCCTCATGTGAGGCTAGAAAGAGACTAAACCCACTAAGCTGCTTTGCACTTGTTCTGTTATGTTTTCTCAAACCAAACCGGGGTGGCCTTGATTAGAAAGAGTCCAGGAAGGAAGTGCCCTGGGTCTCTAGATCCTGTTCACTGAACTCTACTGTTGAATGAAGAGTTCCCATTATTTTCCAGCTCTCTAAATATCTCTTCTAAACTGTGCCTAATGTTGTTCTGAGCTTGAAGTCAGTCAGGCCAACAAAAGTTCATGACACTTTCATGTACTTTTATAAGACCACTTGAACACTAATCATGCTTTTCGTGTGTCAAGAACCGATCTGCATTCAATTAAAGAAAACTGCATTATGTTCCTCTAAAGCCTCGTAAAGAAGTTACTGTACACTGGAAAGCAGTATAAAAAGTATGAGAAAGAGCATATCAGGTACCTGTAAAGGACCCAGGAGAGCACTCTGCCTCGGTATTAAGAGTCAAGACCTAAACAAGATATGTTTGGATTTTTCCCCTGTATCTGGCAACGACCATCTCATCAAACTCATAAACCATCTGGAGCCACTGGAGTCCAAAACTGCAACATGGATATGATTCATTGAATTTAGATTTTTATCTGTGCTGAAGATTAAGCTTAGCTACAGAGGTAAACTGTACTGTGTGGGCCCTTGCATGTTTGACCATGAGAGGTCGTGAAATTAAGTTCAATGGCTTATCGCGTCTTCGGTAATATTGACTGAATATATTATAGTTCGATCAAACCTGTGAAGTTTAAGGCAGTTTGGACCCAGTAACAGGAAGTTACTGTTAAAGTTACAACAAATTCTTGTTTCACTGTAAGTCATCAGACTTTGGCGATCTGCTCCAGTGGTGTTGTATGAGTTTTGTGTATGAGTCTGATAAAAGAATATTTCCGCCCTCCTCCAAAGTACAGTCCAGTATATTTAGTCCCTGCTCAGTTTTTTTTCCATCTATCTGATGTACGTGACTCCGCCATTCTCTCATCCCAGTCTAGCCTGTGGCCCTGTCATCGCTCTAATGGCAACTCCAGCGCTCGTCTGACACTAAGGTTCTGTTACAGGTTGGAAATCGCTCCCTGTCTGCCTCTAACTTAACAGCCTCAGACAACGTTTATAGGAAGGAGCTGGGCTGGTTTCAGAGCACCATGGGATTCATCCTAACCTAAGCACCAAACACGGGGCAGGGAAGGCGATTATGAGCCGCAGGTGTGTCCCGGTTCTTGGCTCGGAGGTGGAGATATGCCGAGCGTAGTGCAGGGAGACAATGATGTGTCTCACATTTGGGAAACACATTTGTATCACAGCTCTGTTGAACAAGTGGTTTTAATGCTTACAAGAGGGGTTAACGTGCCTCCCGTATTTCCTCACATCAGCCTGTCATGGTGGCAGAGTTGTACCAAGTTTCAGTTTAAAGACTTCTGCTTGTATGTGCTATAAATAATGACTTTTTCCCTTCCCTTTTTCTGTGTAAGGCAGATCCAAACTAACTTTTTAGTTTTCCTAAAGTCATTTATTGTGCTGAACTTGAATGTGCGACAAAAAGCTCAGTAACAGCTGAAAGAGGATAGCCTGAAACAGCTCTGCCTTCATAAGTACTCTCTGCTGGGATTTCTTGGCAGCTTTTTTCAGACCACCGTGATTCGTCCCTAAGCCATGATTCCAGCTAGGACATGTGTTTTCAATTCTTTTTCAGTCAATTTCAATTTGTTTTTGTGTTCAAATAAAATGATCACCAGTAGCTCTGTTTGTTTTAAAGTTATTAAAGCCTGCAGTAAGCTGCATATTGTCACCCCCTGATCCCAATTACCCCCCAGTGGCTTTACTCTGACCTTTTAGAGCCACACATGCTTTTCCCCCAGCAGGCCACATGACTGCGTCCCTACAAGCAGACTCCCAGTTAAGTACAGCCTGGGGATGAAACCACCTTTGATTTAAAAGGATGAGACTGACACTTTTATTTCTCACATTAAAATTTGTCGCTGAAACACTTCCTAGCGGTCTCTTCTGTGGCTTTTCCTCACAATTCCTGGTGGGGAAAAAAAAATCCCAGTAGGATTCGCAGTTGCGTCATGAAACCAGTGGCTTGAAATGAGAGTGTTGGATCCAGATATGATAAAAATGTCCAGTAGAAGATTTATGATCTGTCAGTTTTATTCCAAGACAGGGATAGTAATATTTTCTATGATGAATTTATGTTTGTCAGGGAAGTCGTCAAAAGACCATATCCAACACCCTATTATCATTATCATAAATTGTAGATGGACAAAGTTGGAAAAAACATCAGTTTAACATCAAACTGTAAATCTCAGGCTCAAAGTGTTGAGTTCCATTTTAAAGGTGGTGATGAGATGATTTTGTGCTGGGCAGTAGTTTACAGTAAATTATCTAAACAGACTTCATGTCGTCATTCAACGGAATTATGGAGCTTCCTACTTTAAAAGACCCTTTATAAAAGTAACTGGGATGTCACACACATGCATGATATTAGAAAAACCTGCAGTCTGCTTTCACATTTTTCAGTATTTAAATAACAATATGAGGTGCATAAAGATAGAGTACAAATAAGCTGTAAGTCAAAGTTTTTATTTCCATCTGCTCTTTCCAAAACACATTTCCTACACATTTCATTACCTCTGAAATAGCAACAACTAATCTGGGAGTTGCTGACAGAAACAGTGTTAAAGTCATTAGACCCAAACCTTCCTCCAGCAGGTAAAATGCTTCCACTAAATAACTTTTCGTATTCAGACGAGTTTGTCCAAGTGATTTAAGTTTGGTAATTTAAAAATGCTCACACTGTATATATTTGATTCTGTCGATGAATGTTCTGTGCTACAGTATATACAGTCTCAGAGTTCAATTTAGTTTCCAAGGAGAGAAAACAAAACAGTCTGTTCACTCTCTGAAGAGGGGGGAGGTAAAATAGAAGAAAGTTCCAATCTAGCCACAAACTGTAATCACCGTCCTGAAGTCTCCGTTTTATAAAACAGCACAATCGCTAATTCAAAGCATTACAAAGAGGTAGATGGCGGCGCAGTGAGATAGGAGAGGTTTTTAGACAGCTGTGATTTTGTGGGATGAGTGTTTGGTCAGAGTAAACATAACACACTCTCATGTCAGTTCTGTAAGAACAGCCCACAGTAGAGGAGGAATGCGGCTCTTACAGCGCTGCTGTAACTTCTCTCCAAGAAAGGCATGGGCGCCGAGCCGTCTTTCCCTCACACTCTCTCTTTCTCTCTCTGTGTGTACCACATGGGGATCAGCCATCTAGGTAAACTTTCACACTCGGATGAGCAGAAGTCCTGACTCACTGGGTCTAAGTAAGCATTTTTTTTTAGAACAGAGAGAGGTATCATGGGAATGTGTCCTGGCCTTGAATGTTAGAATAACATTATCTGTCTTCTTAGATGGGACAGTCCAGGCCACTGAGATTTCTTTTTTTGGTCACACAAGACAAAAATGTTCAGTTCGCATAAGAGCTCCCAAAAATGGTCTGAAACAGTTTCAAGTTAAGGACATTGCAAATAGTTTGGTTAATCGATGAATTCCTTGGCTTTTTCAAACAAATGCAGATCGGATCTAACCTTTAAGTCCACTGAGTCTTGATAAAACTGTTACACAGTTTAGGCGGATGCTCATGCAGCTGAATAAGGGCTGCCTGATATTGGAAGGATATTTTCCTTGCAGCAGTATACTACTGTTGATTTTGGTGTAAAAAACAGAACTTAATGTAACTCCACTACTGTTGAGGGAACTAAATTCGGTCATTACAGCTGCAGAAATTTCAAAGGACTCGTTATATTTCTGTCAAACAGCCAACAACTACATGAGATTAATCATCCCACTCAACAGTGAGGCTGTGCCTATGTCAGCTCAGTCCCATCCAGGGTGAAAGATGATCTTGTACAGGAAACACACATACAGGCTGACGATCAATCAGGTTATGAGCGTTCTGTCAAATACCAGCTTTATTTTCCTCCTTTTTATAGAGGAAAGAAGGAGTTGTAGTGTATGAGGATGGAAAATAGTTATCATCAAGAAGACGAGAAATTCTAATCTCAAGATGTTCCTCACAACACACTTCGAATAAGCTAGACACCAGACAGCCCTGTGCTGCAAACACCTGTGACCCAGGTGAGATTCACATTAACTACAGAGCCAAGAGCAGAATAGAGAAAACAGTGACCCCTTACTTTATAAATTTACATGTAAACGCCACCAACTTACGTGTAAAGCTATGTTTGATATGCTCAGTTACTGTCAAACTCACAGTCTTCCTCTGCATGAGAATTCCTCAGCATTACACTGTCTGCACCCTGCAGGTGTAGACATTTACTGTAAACACTCTGTGGCGACATTCATCTAAATCCAGACAAGAAAGTATGACAAAGCCTAACGCTTCACAGTGACTGCATCAGGAGATGGGGAGAAACCTGTGTTTATTCTATGTCTGATGCCTATCGGTGTTGATTTTTGAAGTTTTTTAAATGTTTTCAGACAGATCTAAAGGGAAATACCACAGTTTTCAGCTGGTATGTAAAGTATGATGAGCAAACATTAATTTTAGCCAAATTTCCAGGGTTGAACCAACAAATGAACTGAGCTTTGAAACATCCCCAAAATTTATGCAGCAGTTCGGTAACATGACCAGGTATAAAGACAGCACTCCAGAGAGACAGTCTCTCTAATCTCTCAATGACTAATGGATAATCTTTAGGCCTTTAAGCAGCAGCAACAATCACTGTCTGCAAACACAATTTGTCGATGCATCCAGAAGTGCAAGTCAAAATTGTACCATTCAAAGGACAAACCTATCAACTCTGAATATGATCGAGAAATGCTGGCAACTTCTTTGAACTCTTTCCGATTTAATTCAGATAGACTGAGGCAAAGTGGAAACTTTCCTATAGTCTGATAATCAAGAACTGACACTCTTTTGGAAATCATGGACACTGGATCCTCTGCTCTCAAGAGGAAGGACCACTTGTTTGGTTAGCAGTAAACCCTTAACAGCCAATATCTGTGACAGTATGTGGACACACACTCAGGTTAAGGACTGATCTTTGCAGAGTTCATCCACACGTGTTGACTCTCTGTTTATCCTCCAGTAGTGCTGTCTTCCTACAAAGTCTTATAAACATGCATCAAAGCTACTCCTTCATTTCTCAGCCCTCTGCTAAGCATAAAAGCGCATCCCCAAACCGGATGTCACTTGCAAAAGTTTTCCAGCTTTAGAAGTCATTAGAATTTTAATACGACTACAAGGAGTTTTGGCACAAAGGAGGCACTTTTGATATTGAACAGCGAGCAGTTCCTGAACATGCAGACATTCCTTTGACCCCAAAAAATAGCACTGTTGCTACAAAGGTGAGCACACCATGTGTTTGCAGTTAGCTGCATTTTAAATGATGACACCCAAGAGACTGCTAAAGCTAATGCTCTCATCCACTAGTTAGACATTATTTTACTCTCCACAATATGAATACATTAATTTTTCCAATGACTACTCAAAGTCACTGTGATTGATGAAACATACCACTTCTAGAAGCCACAACAGGCTTGTAGGGCACCCGCAGAAAAAAAGGCTGTTTTCAATTACACATGTCACTTCAGCCTGAGGATGTGGAATGATGTCACCGGCACTGTACCAGGAAACAATTTGGGGGTCTCATTGCACGTCATAATAAATCAAGACTAGTTTATTTAGCCCAGGAGGAGCACTGAAAATAAAATTAAAAAAAAAAGACTAATTTTGAACTGGTTTATGTCTCAGTCTGCACGTCAGGAGTCAATGATTACATTTAGCAATCATTTCCTCTGTTGGCTGCAGTGCAGGGCCACTGAGGGACTTCAAATACCTCTTTGTTCTAACCAGATTACACACACGGTTTTCTTCAGCATAATGAAGTTAGAGTAAAATGACTTTAGTTTAATTGTTAATGTACATGCCAACACGGTTTTGATACAAGTAAGAAAACAGTTTCAAGATATATTAGCTGTTTTATTGATTATATTTTGCAACTTGGCTGTTAGACAAGTATTTCACAAACACTGACATGCTGATTACGCAAAATGAGGTTTTCTCTGCATTGAAAGTCAACAGAACATGCCTGAATATACCCAAGTGGTTTGGCTGATGCATGTTCCTCTGAGCTTGCGTGATTGTTATTACAGGCTGGAGTCATTAGTTAAATTACACTGAAACCAACGGCTCATAAACACACAATAAGGCTGTATTCTGCTTGGAAAACGCTGTCTTTCTTTCGTACAGGTTACCTTAACAACCACTTTTAATTTTGTGTAAATCGTGACAATCCTCTCTGGATCCCAGTTCATCCTGGTTTCAAGTGCTCTCCATCACAGTCATGACAGTGCTCTGCTCTCTATCATAGTAATTTTAGCACTGGCTATTTTCATTCACAGGCTGGCAAATACTGACATTTGTGTGTGGTCTACTGGCTGTAAGCTGCTTCTTGTTGAACAAAAGCTGATGCCCATAAAATTCTCACTGTAACAAATGTAGAAGATGGAGTATCTTTCCCTCTTGTTGCTCTTAACAGTGCGTCGACAGACGGTACATGTTTACTGACCTCTTCAATACTAGAACAATGTCAAGGTTGAAAATCAAAAACTTTAAGTCAAGCATTTTAGGGTGTCCAAGAGCTTTCTTAACTGTGTAATCACAAGAATTCTAGTATCAAAACAACCCTACTTTTAACAGTCAAGTCAGCTAGTGAGAATAGTTTCTGTGGAAAGTTTTAGCAAAGGTTATTTATTTACCCAGTTTACTGTTTATCACCTCTCTAACGGCAGGATTAACAGGCACTCAAAGCCTCCCTAAATAGTCCTGAGTATGAATGAATTATGGTTACAAGTCTCCTGATGGCAAGTTTTCCAGTAAGAAGCTGTAACTTGGTCCTACCTATCTTGCAGCTGTAGCCACTCTTTACAGACGACAGTACATTGGTATGTTAAAAGAATTCAAGCCGTCCTTGATTTCACTTTTATGACTTATTGTCTACGATTAGACAGGACTCGTTTGGACGGTATGTTTCGATTAAAACAGTACACCCTAAAAGATCCAGCCAACATGGCTCTTGCCAAATATTAACAGCTGCCGAGATAACACTCTCTGACAGTCGTAATTTAACATCACTTGTTTGGTGGAATAATGAAATACTTGTAATAAAGCCATGATTTTGACAACACAGCTGATTATCATCTGTGCTAGAAGACTTTGCATCAGGGGAGCTATTAGCTTTGTAGTCAGCAGAGTACACGTCGGACACAGGCACAAAGAGACCGAGTAGAAAGGCAGACTATACAATGCACACTTGGCCACAGAGAGGGCACAGATCCAAACGTGTGGTGACACAGTGACAATGTTCTAAGACATGATTACAGCCTGGGACGGCCAGCATGGTTTGTTAGTTTGTTAGACTGGAATTACAGGCATAGAGAGCGCTATTATACAGTATATAAGTCATGGGTGACTTTAGGTGGAGTCTCCTTTTCTTTGCCATCAAGTCCTCCCTGTTGACACGTAAGTGATGTCTGGGAGAGGTAATCTATTTTATGAGAACGATGAGGCAAGCCAGATCGTACTGAGCTATGGTATCAGTCTCACATACACACTCATGAAAACACTTGCCAGGAAATATGTTCAAGGAACTGTCAAGAATACACAACTTGTTCCTAAGTCAATAATGTCATAATATCTATTAGTATTCTTGAGAGGGTCTGCTTAAGGTCATCCAAGCCTTTTGAGCTTTCATTTGTCAGCAACTTTGTGTTTAAACTTCCCAAACTCCCACAGAAGTTTGTTAAGGACACTGAAAAGTTGTTGCTTTCACGGCTGTAACTTGCATCTTTTACCTGCTTGGAAAATAAATATTTTAAAATAACTTTAAAGACCCACAATGTAAGATGAGACTAAATACTAGAGCCATATATTCTCAGTCAGAAGTGCTGCTCACACAGTCAGTCAGAAATATGTAAAAGGCTCCTTTCAGACAGCTTGGACAGAGGGGGTCTACACCGCCCCGGTTTTTGTAAATTTCCAAACCCAACAGCCACGTCCGCTGTTCACAGAGACCTGCCAGGTGCCCGTAGGTGAGAAATGGGCAGAAAGCTGCATTCCTGCCTCCTTCACCTTTCCTTTCAGTGCTTAATCCCTCCATTAAACTTTGTACCGTAGGTGATGGAGAGAGATTTTGCCTCCAGAGAAAAGCTGGAGGAGAGGTAAAAGTCTTGACCAAAATGTTGCTATGAACCTCAAAAATCAGGTGCCAATTTTCCTTAAACATAACATCCCACCTCTATAGCTACATACACCTATAGCAGAGTCACTCACACTATACAGAGCAAGCCTTCTGAAGGTGCTCTTTAACATGTTTCTGACCTCACTCTGAAGGAGAAAATGAGTGCTTACCCAGCTGGCAAAGACCTGACATCACTCTCCTAAGTAATTACAGCCATTATAGCTGTTTGCTGATCTTTTATTTTAAAACAAAAACACCAGACTTTAAGAGAAAAAGCAGATTAGAAAACTTGGGGGTAACAGTGACGCATCTAGCTGATATAACACTCCGTTAACACATCATTTAAAGGTGTTAAGCTGACGTTATGATCCGAACAAACCCCCTTAAATAATTGATTTCTGAACAAGGCGTCAGTGTTAAAAGGCAAATGGCTCCCAAAAGGGTTTAATAAAGAAAAACATCTGGCCTGCATTACATTTTTCAATTTAATGTGTAACTTTATTAAGTTTTTGTTAAATACAGCAAAACCTCAAACTCTCAAAGGCAAATCTAAAAAAACAAAAAACTGAAGGACAGCTACTTAAATCTCTATCGTTCATATGAATTTTCTGTAAAATAATAATAATTTCTAAACCTTAGCTTCTTTTTTTTTGCTGTTAATTCATGATTGCCTTTGTTTTTGACTGTAAATCTAAAAGGCAATCTGAGGATGATGGACTAGCCTCGGGGATGGTGTGAAGGCCTTTTTTATTAAAGTAGAAAAATAATTAGCTGTTTAAAATTAAAAGAAAATTAACTTTTGTTACTGCCTTTGTTTGGCAGTGCTACAACATCTTAACTTTTTTTTCATTACTTGCCAAAGCTTCTTATTTTATTGTCGCCCCATTTAAAAAAATATTAATTTCATACTTCTTTTAATGAATTTAATACCATTTCAGGTGAAATCTATACTTGAGGTGAGAAAAATTTAGCTGGTGCACTCTTAGCTCGTGTTTCAATCCCTCCCAGGTGTCTTGAAAAGCTTTTGTAAGTAAACATCTTAACCCTTGTAAAGGAACTGTGGCTACTGTGTTGGTCCAGAGCAGAGGACAGAGCCAGCCTGTGGAGACTGAAGGCAGCTGTTGTTCCCTGATAGCAAACTGCCTCACCCAAGCAAAATGCATCATTAGAAAAGTACATTTCCAGACTTAACCTGAACACAGGCCCACAGTAGCCTACTTACGACATAAAAAACACTCACACATGTCTCCACTTATGTTGTTGTCTGCAGGTTTTTACAAGATGCCCTGTGTGCGTGAAAAGAGCTGTGTTTAACTGAAATGATTTCAGGGCAATTTGGAGCAATTTACCCTAGCAACATGCTAACAGGGAGAAGGGTTACAAACAACTCAATAAAGCTGTGGGAGTGGGCTGCTGCTTTTTTAAGGAGCACAAACTTACTGTATACATGTATGTATATAGGATGTCTGAACAGCTGAGCACTCAAACAGGTTGAACTTGGCTCTGCTCCACGAGCCTTCAATTATAAGCAGGTTTACATCTGCGCCTCTGTTTCTCGAGCTCACAAATGCTTGTTTTACATTAAAATAGTTGGTTAATTTCCTACACATTTTGATTTATAGTTAAAATCGTGAAAGATAAAATGTGCGTCGCTTTTGCCTCGCGGGTAAGTTTAATTGAGAAAAGTGAAAATGAGCGAGGGCATCATACAGCCGCTGCCAATTGGCTGATTATTCCTCGCGCTGGATATTTCACAGCCTGACGTGTATTTAAAAGCCAAAGCTGCACGCGAGCAAACGACATGAAGCAAAAAGCGGCGCGTGAGAAACCGCAGACAGTTCTTTTGTGCTCGAGCTCTGTCATGTAATTAAATGGTCCAAAGTCGCGGGTTAAATATTCCGGGGAGCCACGGGCATTCAACCTGCCCCGTTATCCACACCCTGTACCCGTCGTACAACGTTTTTCCATGACAGCTATTAAATTTGACATTTAACTTCACACTTAGTTCAGATGTTAGGCTACATACAATAAAACGTCGGTGGGTAGATTTCGACGCGACCCCACATTATCAAAACTTTTATTAGTCTTACCTTTGGGAATTAGCACAGGAGCTTGAGGTGTCTCGGTGAAAGAAAGAGAAAGAGCAAACTCCATCCAGCATAATAAAACAAAACATAACTTGAGGTACTCCATTGCTGTTTCAGTGCGTGTTCCCGTACAGGCAGCGGGTGACCGACTGGATTAATGCCTCCTAGTTAGAAAACAGTAACCCTGGAGGATCTTAATGCTACTCTCGCGATATTAAAATAAAAATATAAAGTCTTCTGGACGTGCAGTTCTCTGGGCAGCCCAGGGGGGTGAGAGAATAAGAGGTGAAATTCTGTTGAAATTGAAGAGCAGGCGCGGTTCCTATAACTGCATCTGCACCCACTTGAAATGAAGTGGGAGAGAGATAACTGTCCACTCTCGACACAGGGACGTCCTGCGCGAAAGTGTAACCAAGCACAGCTGTATTTGAATGGCCCCCTCCCGTCCTCCATCCCCATCACTGTCAAATAGCCCTCCCCTGGTCCCCTCCCTCCGGAACACCAGGCAGCCTGTGACCAACTCTGCTCTCCTTTTCCACTCTGCTCAGGGGAGAAGTTTCTTTCAGCTTTATTAATTCAAAACTATGGGAAACTAGAATTTTGTAAGAGCCCCGTTTTGGATACAACCATGTTTAATTTACTGCCTAAGTCGGATTGAAATTAAATACTTTTTCCTAGATATTTTTCATCCTTGATCTCCCCTGTTTCACACAACAACATCTGGTACAGTCTGCTTGTTGCTCATACATGGGTTAGATTTGATAAACAGCATAAAGAGCATAAAAATACTTCTATAGGTACATAGTAAGGAGTATTTGGTCTTTCCCTGGAGTCAAAGAAACGTCTCAGTGTATTATACTCGGTAACAAAGACTGCATTTAAGTTTTTTTAAGGACAGAATGCTTTTTGTTTAATGTATATTAAAGGCATGAGTTTATTTAAGTGCTTTATCATCTGTAAAGTTGTTTTGTCTATAACATTGGACGTATCTATAAAGAAGAGAGCAAGTATTTAGTGAGGTCAGATGGAAATACTTATGTAAAGTCAAATTACCTCTTGAGTATTCAATTTCTTTACACTGCAACTGCTGAAATTCCCCTAATTTATTGATTCATATACTTTGGTCTAAGATGTGAGAAAAAATGGTTTCTCCAAACTGGAGATTCCATCTTTAAAATGAATCTAAGCCAGACCAAACCCTTAAGACATTTGTTATACCCTCGATAATCTGGAGAAAGCAGCAAAAAACCATATGTGCAAAGTGAATTTTCTGTCACTGAGCGTACCATCCAATCATTTTAGCGGCGCTACCCCATGTCACCACCAGTCCGTTGATGATAAATTTAAAAGTTGACTGATGCTACAGATGTTCGCACTGCTCTCGCTCCTCAACAACACAGTACACGCACACAAGGGAGCAATAAGGAGGAAAACAGACACCAGACATCAAATCCAGCTTCCTTCCACTGTCTTATCTGTGTCCCTGTTTGTTTCAGCTGTCCTTGAAACCATTTTTTGGTCTCATTCATGTCTGTCATTCTTTATTAGTGGTTGCAGACTCGCCCCCCCTGCAAAAGCTGTTACTGTCTGGCAAACACTTCGCATGGCAGCTGCTAGGACTGCAAGCACCCAGATTGTGTGGCTTAATGACGTCACTGGGTTTCTGGGATTCAGATGCAGGGGGAGTTGAGGCCATACTTCTTTATAAGATAAATTACTTCGTTCCAGTGAGGCCCTGATAAAACCCTAAAAATGTAGAACCGTGCCAGGAAGCAAGAAAGTATAGTACTTGTCTTGGACTTCTGCCATTGGGTCGTTCAGAATGCAACAAAAAGTAAAGCCCTGTTTATTGAAAGACTGTGTCACAAGAATATTATCACGTAAGTTTTTATGTCTCTTGAACAGAAACCCATTCAACCATAGACTGTCCTTGACCCTACCGTGAAACTCGGACAAACTAAAGTTTCAACAACGTGGCATTAACCCAGATTTGCTAAGGCATTAAACAAGCCTTGGGGAATGTATAATTTAACAACTCAATGACAACTATCACTCAGGGTTTTTTTTTTTTTTTGCCCTGTGGGATGGTACGGGACCTCTCCACAGCTGGAAAATGTAAGTGTTTGTGGTGGAGAAACTCATGCAGCATCTTGGCAGCGTGTTATAGGGAATGCGCTATGTGTTGCTTCAATTCACTGGCATAAGTCCGGACACCCACCGAACATGTGGGAAAGCCCAGTGAGCTGTCGTCTGGATTTGATTACACCCTGAAAAATATGTCAGAGTTATATTAGCTGTACGATATTTCTACTGGAAGACTCCACTTGATGTCAGACATAGTAAAGCCTAAAAGAAACATGAGACTGTCTTTGCATGTCAGGATTTGCAAAATCAGGACAAGTTGTGCATCCAGGGGATGGAGGCAGTGGCATTTGTGACATTTTAATGTGGGATACACGTGGGTGAGAAAATTACACTTACTTACACTAAAATTGGCAGGTTCAGGGGCTGAGTGACTGCAGTGGTTTGTGGGTTTAAGGATGGAGAAAGCTCATCAAGACAAGGTGTACTTCCACAAAGCTAACCCCGTTTTATATCTGCCCCAGCATAAGGTCTCAGACTTTAGACAGCAGCCAGTTAGGCATAAACAGCTAAAGACAGCATCTTATCTACCTTAACAAGGGCTCACAAACTGCATATAACCTGTTGACAGCACAGGTGGTGTTCTCTCGAGGCAGCTTTTTCAACTGGGCTTATTTCAGTGCCAAATAAAACACAAGCCTCCAACCTTGACTGCCTTAGCATTTGCAAAAGACCAAACAGTGTTGCAGTCTCCTGAAGACATTAAACCATCCACTATTTTAAGCGCTGGTGTGGAGACAGTGGGTTTGCAGGCGCTGTCTAAATTTAATCAAGCTGAAAGAAGAAACAGATGATGCTTCAGGGAGGTTGACTGTTAAGTAGATGCCAAATATTGAAACCAAAACAAAATACACTGACAAATAATACTCAGTGAATAAAGACGAGCCCATATTTTAGAGACGGTAGTAGGCCAATGCTTTTGGCAAAATTGTACTGAGGATTTCTCTTCAGTTTAGGCTCTGTTTTGGACAAAACTTTCTTGGTAGTACAACTGTATGGTTTTGCAATTGCCCTAGTGAAATTCTGGGTTCCTTCAACTCTGTTCAAGGAGCCACAATTGCACCATGATTATAAAAGAATAGCCATTTATTTTTATCCAGAAAGCTTTGATCACTCAACGGTAAGCTTAATTACTAGTCCAGATCGATGGAAAGGACAGCACTCCTTTCTCCCAGTCAGCAGGAATGATCATTTACGTCATTCCCTGGCGCAGCTCTGTCTACGTTGGTCCCACTTATGAGGCCACAAGGCGCATCTATCGGCCCAGGGTGTGGTCTAAAGGCTGCTGCGAGGGGGTTTCATCAGCAGCACAGTTTACCCCAAGACCAAAGAACTTTAACAAGCACAGCAAGTACATTTTTAATATCGCCCCAGAGTCTGGCCACAAAAAGAGAAAGAGGTTTGACGTGGATTAATTAACTATGATCATGGGCGGTCTTTCATCTGTTGTCTCAGACAGCAAGCTTGGGCTTACGGTAAAGACCTTGGCAGCAAACTGTTTTAAATGCACCATTGAAGATGTTTGCAATTTTCAAACCAGTGTGATACTTACCCGTATAAATTTGCATTTCTACTCAATTGACTGGAGATTTGGGGCAGTGTGTCTCCTGAATTACACATAACAAGCTCTTTAGCCAGCCTTTCATTTGAATGTCATCACATAGGCAGCCATGTGAAAACCACAAGGTTCCAGAAGCAAAAGTAGGTTAGAGAGAGGAGGATTCAACCCTCCATCAATCCCGGTCTTCTGGTGCCACCTCACAGAGGAAGTTTGTACACTGCTTATTTTCTTTGCCAAATAGGGTTTGGAGAAAACGTAATCATTGTCTGGTCTCCATAAACTGACCACAGTATTCCAGGAAGAGTGGCACCTTCATGGCTGTTTTTAGACCAGACTTTTCTTTGGGACTTCGTAATAGAAATTGCCTACTGGGGACACCAATATACACAACAACAAACTTTCAAGTACCCTTACCTCCATTTTTTTCATACACACTTGCACTGTCATTGGGATCTCTCTAGTGACATCAGCCAGCCTGTGGTCGCAATAGCAACGGGACAACCAGATGGAGGATGCCGTGGTTAGAGCTACGTATTTATGGCCTGCCCTGGGTTTCATTATAATAACAGAGCTGGAAAGGATGTGAGAATTTAGACCTTATTGTTAAACCATTTGTTGTTGTTTTGGTCCTTTTTTAAGGCAACTGTTGAGGGGTGTTGCACAGGTTTTGAGAGGGGTTGTTGGCAAATGCTGCATTGGCTCATGTTTGATTGACTGGTGGAACAGTTACATTAATCAAGTCTCTTCTTGCACTTGGAGAGCCCCTCATTTGAAATAGGTTATAATGACAATTCCACCCGAGGAAATTTACCCAAGGACTGGGCATTCAGAAGTGACCCATCAGTGTGTTTCCATTGTGAGTCAGGACTTCTCCAAGTTGTGGGTGCTTTGATTTACACTGCACAGTTCCCTTCTAAGGGTGTAACTTTCTCAAATTACTGAAACTTTAGTCCTCTACTGAACATTTCTGATTAGTCAAGTTCTCACAGCACACAAGGAGACATTTTCACTTAGGCAAAACAATTAGCTTGAGTGATAACACAGACCTTTTGATCCTATTAAATGTGGGAGTCCAGGAGGCCAGACTGGGTGATTAAAAGTACAATTCAAAGCCAAGGACTTTGACACTTTGGCCTTGGTCTTGTGTTCCACATTTTGTTCACATTAACTACAAACTCTTTGGTTTTGATCATGATTTCTCAGTGGTCCGAACACTATCTTGAGAAGTTTGCAAAGTGGGACTTGAAAATATCTTCAGCCAGAGGTTTCTTCTTTGGAAGTCAAGTATAAAAATAAATCCAAATCCCTCCACTTTGAACTATACTTCTCCTGTTTTCCCTCAATTGTGTGTCTGGGGTGTTGTCCTAACCTTTGTTTGCACAGATGTTTCTCTAGCCATTTGTCATAGCGGGTTGAAAACAAAGTTTCCAGGAATTCCACATACTGTCTTTTGTCTCTGGAAAGCAAACTGTACTCTGTTTCATTTTTTTTTCTTTGTTGGTTTCCCAATGTAAATTAACGTCACCACACATCTGGCCTGGCACCCTCATTTAGCATTCTTGCTTTAATCAAGCAAAGCATGTTAAAGCTGTGTTCATCGTTTGTTTGCATATCCTGATTTCCAGACTTGAAATTCACTCTATTACTTATGTAATTTCTAAAGTAGCTCAACGCCAAATCGTCACATATTTTACGGGCTGTGAAGCTGTAACACGTGTTTAATTAAAAGGAGAACAAAATGAAGCGGATGTTGCACAGAAATATCCCCACATATTGCTGGGGCTGGAAAAAAAACATCTGTTTTTTCCAGTATGAGGCGTCTCAGCCCAAAAAAATCAATGCAGGAATTACATGGGTGACATCACTTGTGTGTGGTCTGTGGTCGGGATGATTAATAGTTACCAAATGTGATGTAGCCTGATACGCTTTCTGTGGAATCAGAAAGGCGTAATTTCTTGCTAAACACCCCTAGAGAGGGGGTTCAGGAAGTCCCTACAGTCCATTCAGATAGGAGCTCTGCAGAGACAAACATTCGTCTTTGCAGTCCACAGCTGTGTCAGTACTGGCTTTTTGTAAGAGGAGGGGGAGGGGAGGACTCAGTGATGCTAATTGAAATGTGAGGTCATTGGGAGTTCAAAGGTGAGAAGTAAACATTTAAGACACCAAACAAACACCTTCTACAACAGCAATAGATGTGAAGAACAAAGCACCAATGGAGTAGGATAGAGAGGAAACAAGTCTTCCTTAGTTTTTTTTTTTTTGTCTTTTTTGTTGGGTAACTTTTTTGGCATTTAGTTTATATTTACTTTCTTACGAATTTCTGCAGTTACGAGAAGCACTAAAATTCTTGAGAAACCAGTCAACACACATCCCTCAGCCAACAGTGCAGATCATTCATACATGCATCTACATTTATTTCTCCTCAAATCCATATTCTTTAGGAAACAATGATTGTTTACAGTCAAGGGTTGTCATCCTGATAATTGAATATTGATCACAAAATGAGAAACACTGCATACTGTATATAAACATAGAGGACTCAGAGTCTGAGTCAATAGTGGATTGTTGAGGTTATACTCTGTAAGGCTTTGAGCTGGATGCCAATGACAACATACTGCTGTATTCAGCATGAACAGTAATTATTGGAATCACATGTAAGTTTGGCATGTTATACGCTAAGGAAGAACAATGTATTGTTGTTTTCAGGTATTCAGGCATAAGCTGGGGAAAGGGGATCTTTCTAGATGGGTCTTTGGGATGTGGAAACCAAGGGCCAGGATGTGGGCCAAAGGGTTGATTGGAAATACCAAAGTCATGGGGATTTGTCCTCTGAGTGGCATGAGTATAACTACAGGCAAGTATCTGGACATAAGCTGAGGTTTGGGACTCTTTTCTTGATGCAAACTAGGGACATGAAAACCAGTCATTTCTGTCAAGACAGACCAGAATTATTGAAGTTAGGATCTATCCTTTTTTTACAGGTATCAGGGTGTTGGGGTGGAGGGTACTCGTTTATTAGGACATAAAATCCTGAACTTTTTGTGTTAAGGATTGGACACAAACCCACCCATCATTGAGGTTTATCCTCAGGGTGTCATGAGTATATAGTATACACCAAATTTCATAACAAGTATCAGATTACAAAATGAAGAGACAGGCTCTCTTGACAGCGTAAGTGTTGGACAGGAAAACAGCGTTGTCATTAGGAGTTATCCTCTGGGTGCAATAATACCATACTTCATTACAAATCAAGCACCAGTATCTAAGACGTTTCTATTTGGATAATAATGATAGACCAACTGAAAACCCCATAGTGCCAGTCCAAGAGCCATGCCACAAGCATGTCAAGTTAGTTTTCCAATGATCAAGAGAAATTGAGCAAGAAATGATCCCTGTCCATGTCCTCCCTGACCCTCCATATTCGTGCCTCAACAGTTCTGTTTTCCGACCACAGCTTGAGCAGTGTAGGAGCAGTCTTTGTTAGGACTCAGAGAAATGCAGACAGAGAAATGCTGCATACTAGAGCTTTGAACCTGAGAAGGCTAAAGTCTCAAACAGTTTGGGAAAGAGTGATAGTTTGCATCTCCTGACCTTCAGACTCCATTACTCATGTAAAGAAGCTCAACGCCAAAATATCACACATTTTTCTGGGCTTTGAAGCTGTAACAGGTTTTTAATTAAAAGGAGAACAAATGGAAGTGGATGTTGCACAAAAATATCCCCACATAGTGCTGGAGCTGGAAAAAAAACATCTGTTTTTCCATTATGAGGTGTCTCAGCCAAAAAAAAAAAAAAAAACAATGTCTCAAAAAGTCTCAAATGGTTTAGAAAAAAGAGTGATAGCTAATGAAAAGTCTCACACTCACACAATATCAGCCTCTTTTTGTTCTTCATCCCACTCTCTGTACAACTCTTTGAGTGTGTTACAGCAGACAGCTGCCCACCCAAGAATCTAGTTTTAAGTGTCCACCTGGTAAAAAAGGTTTCATCTTTCTAAATGTTGAAGCAGTGAGGGGGGTTTTCCAACCCAGATCCTCTCTTTGACTGTTCACCTTCTTGTCAGCTTTATAGTTTTGTTGAATAAAGGCACAATAGACCATATTCCCATGGTGACCATCTTTCTTTGTTATGTTCAGGGTGGGAAACTCACTGATCATTGTCACGATTATCACAGTGTTCTAGCTTGTAAGTCAAATAAACCTTGATAATCTGACCAGTTGTTGTCATTTTGCAGCTCACAGTTTCATAAGCAGCCCTACAAATTATCATGAGAGAGATATCTGTTTCTACATCGAGTTAGCTCTCCAACAACATGATGTTTAATACCATATGGATGGATAGCGGTGTTATGGATGAATAAGCGACCCTGTAAACTGTGGACTATGACTGTGTTAAAATGACAGCCTCACTATCATTTAGCTAAAAGTTGCTTGAAATCAGGATTTCTTTTTGAAGTGTAATGCTAGTAGTTTTACTGTCACTATTATAAGCCTTGATCCAGAAGCAGGATAACCTTGAATTAGTCAACAGGGGAAAAATAATAGTAATAAGTAATATTCGCAAGACCTTCTTACAGCATTGCAAATATCATATTGTTAGCTAACATGATGTAGAAATAGACACCAGCACATAAACACTTCTAAAGTAATCATCTATAAAATAATCATTACTCTTGTTTAATTTCTTAGTTCCTGTTGTATCTGTGATTTTTTTCTATGTAATTGTTAAAGCTCCTGTAAGGAACTTTTTTCTTGTTCTGTAAAAAAGTGATGTTTTTCAAAAAAGGATTTTTTCGTCAGCTAACTTTCAATTCCCTGGTCAGACATACGCTCCCCTGTAGCAGTTTCAGACCTCTAAAATTGCAACAGAGAATTAAGCAGCCTTGTTGTTTACAGTTTTGTTTGTTTCTGGGGGTCATAAAATGGCAGCAGAATCAGTTTGTCTGTTTCTCAACCAGTCAAAAACTCCTTATAGCACCTTTAAAAAAGAAGTGGATATGATAGTGATATGAGTGAATGCTCATATATTGGCTGTGATCAGGGATCTGTAAAATGACAACATCTTGACATATCTTTGAGGTTTATAGGACTTTTGATCAGGAACACAGTGATAATACATGATAACGGTAAACTTGTTTCCCACCTTGAGAGTGACGCCACAAAAAGATGTCCACTGTGGAAAATTGGGAATGTGGTCTCTGGTTAAAAACAGTTAGTTGTATTAAAAAAAGGAAGGATAGCAAAAGATAGTGAAGTTCACACACACTGACATCAGCCTCATCAAAATATTAGAGAACATTTCCAAAACAGTGAATTCCTTCCATCACCTGAATTCGAGATGTCATGAGGGACAGTTTCTAGTTGGGAAAAGGAGCCGTTCCAGGACACGCAGCGATTTAAACAAAACCTTCCATCCAAGTCTTGCTCTTTACAAAGAACCAAAGTAGCTCCTTTCATTGATGTGTGATTAAAAAAAAGCTCAAGGAGGCGGTTTTAAATGAGTTCTTTAAGTCACTCCCAAGGTTAACAGCTTGAGGTTAATGGCTAACCTGAAAAGGCAGAAAATGAAATGTTCTCTGTTCCCTTTTCATTTTGCCCCTCAGGAACATCTGTTTTTGACGTAATCGCTCCAATCAGTGTCTCTGCGGGTTAGATTTTTGCAGAAAAAAAAATTACTTGTCTCAAGGACTGCTGAAGAGAATTGCTTAAAAGGGTGAAGGTGGCAATTACAGCAGCTTTTGAGCTGAACTTATTAACAAGTAGGGCTCAGTGGTTTAACGTGACCATTTACAAGGTGTGACTATGATAACACTTTACTATTTAAAACTGTAATATAAAGGCAATGGCTCATGTTAGACCTGAGAATGAGTGCAGGTACTAAAAATTTTTTTTTAAAAAGCATCATATATTTCTTATATCAAATGGGTCAGGTGAGATACCAATAAAGAGAACTGCACAAGTTACATCATCTTTTATTTTAGTGTTTCCATGGACAGTCAGCACAAATTAAGCTAAGCTCACGGAGTTTGTTAACATTAATTGCATGATTAAACAGTTTGTTAATTCACAGTATTAGTGCAAAAGTAGAAGAATAAGTATATTTAAATTGTATTTTTACATATATAACTTATTGGGAATGTTTATCCTATATTCCCTTTGTATCACATTCAGATAACGATATTAGGCTTTCACACACAATCAAAGAGCCTTCAGAGAATATAGCACCAGCATCTTTTACTAACAGTGCACTCATCCAGATAGGACATGATCACGCTTAAACAGAACAGACTGCAGAATGATCCATCTTAATTAAAGTTCATCATGTAGTAAGTCTTGAATTTTAAGTTTGAAGAAGCATTTATGAGGGGTAAGATTAGTTCTCCTGTGAATAAGATAAGAAACACTTTACTGCTCCCCAAAGAGATATTCAATGAACAAAGAGAAAGTTAATGTTAACATTGAAGAATGGCGACTTTTCCTATTGGCAGTTCAGCATATCTTTACAAATATAAAATCCTCTAAGACTTAACCATTTATTCATGTAAAAAAGAGTTTTGTGGGTGGATATCGGTCTTTTCCTCTATAGTATCAGGTGCAGATGGGTAATTCCCAGACCCTATATAAGCCAACACTGTAACACAGCAGCATGCATCAACCTGAGTTTATCCCAAAAAAATACATCATCAGAAACTTACATTTCAACATTATAAATCCATGGCGTGAACATAATTTTGTGTTCATCTGTTTGGACCGTTTGGCTGTTCTGAAATGCAGAGCTAGCGCCCTCTTGTGGACAATACTGAGACTGCAAATCCATTGAACAGTACCCCTTCAATAAACCTCCTCTGTAGCAAAGTCAATGTGTGGCATTTAAAAACTAATTCATCCTATGATAGTTTGAGTTATTTTAATCACACACACACACAGTTACGCTAATAGCACATAAGCACTCACACAAAGCAGTGCGCACACATATTGCTCTAAAGGACAAACTGGGTAACAGACCAAAATATAAATCAATAAATAAGAACAGCAGCTACCTGTGGCTAACGTCTACACTACAGGAGTCCTTGAGCTCTCATAAAGTATAGCTACACACTTATTGTTCTTTATTAATTCACATCCTCATATAAATAGGGCAAGATTACACAAGCTCCACTGGCTGGACCTTCTCATACTAAAGATACAAGTCTCTTTTCTAAACTGTATAACAGCACTTGTCTGCCGTGATGATCTTTGTCATTTTTATATCAGGCTTCAAATGAAGTTGTAACTCAAGTTTTTGCACCCAGGCGGGCTCATAATGTAAACACAAACAAAAGTGTCCGCACAACACTGCACCGAACCTTCACAGCCCTGTAATGATTCTGTTACAGCCGCGGCCTCCAAACAACCAACCTGAGACGCTAAGACTTAAACACACCTCCTATTTCACTGGTCATGCAAAAGTTACAACAAATAGGTACTTTCGGTGAACTATCAGAAGGTTGTTGTGTATTTGGGCATTTGAGACTGATCATTATGGCTTTGTGGCCCTGTTCTTTCAAGAGTGCCAGATGCTCACTGAAATATCCTGCTTGGCTCCTAGTTAGTAGACTCAAAGAACATGAAATCCTGTAAAGAAAGAAAAACAGAATAAGTGAAGTTACATTAAAATCATACTGTATAAATTAAACTTTCATGCCTTTTTGCAGTTAAAAGATATCAGCTAAGGTGTAAAATGTATTCACTGATAAATCTCTGCCAAATTAACTGTAAAAACATTTAGGTGCTTTAGAAAATGTACTTCCACAGAGAGAAGCTCCAACAAGCTGTTTTGCATTTATTCTGATTGGGGTGGTTTTAGGTCACACTTCCCACAAAATGTAGGCTAAGTGGTGCATTAAGTGGTAGGTACAAGAAATTTCCAACTGCTAGTGCAGAGGAACATCATTCCCCATAAAAGTTGGGTCAAATGAGGCCACCTACATCTGCACACACTTTAACCAAAGCGACTCCTATTTAGCTTAAAGAGGATTCTTCAAAAATCTGCATGGATTTTCCTCTCACAAGAAATCAATTCTTTTCATGTTGACTTGCAGCTGAAGACACGTAAAAAAAGCTTGTTGCTTTACTTACAATTAGAAAACATGCACCGATCATTACAGCCTTCATTCTCACATCCAGATCCATAGGGAACTGGATGCCAAAGTTGTCTGTATCTGTGAATGCTTCTCGAAGAAGTCCTGTCCACTGCTTGCTGATTTTCCCAATCTTACTGACTTCATCCATCGTCAAAATCTGCCAATGAAAAAAAAGAAAAAAAAAGAGGAGGAAGAAGCTGAATTGTGTTGCGTTTGGACAGAGATCTTTCTCTGAAATTGTTTGCTTTTGTTGGAAGGCGATCATGGAACAACTCGTAATAATCCTATCCAATTTCTGCATTGCCTGCTGCCACAGCATTTTTAGTTTTGGATCCTCGGTAATGACTTCAAAGCTGTGAGAGATGAACAGTACTGGTGATATCATGCTTCAGTTACTCTCTTCTGGGTTGGGTGAAAGGTCTGCATCACTGACCCAAATCCCCTACACAGCTCAATCTAATGAAAGCAGCTGAGGCATGGAACAATGTCCACACTGTACCACACAGGAGCTTGCCCTGTGCAGTGGCTTCATCCAAGCTGCAGCCTTGCTCTGATTGGAAACATATTTCCTTCTTCAGAGCACGAGGATCCCACACGTAAACATGCCCAGGGGGCAAGAATGTAACCGTGTCGTGTTATGTTTTCAGAAGTTTAATGGATCTGTGTGTTTAGATTAACCCACCTCAAAGTCAACATCTGGAAGGCAGCTCCATCCACAGAAGGGCCCATGGATCTTCAGCACAGGCTCATTGTGTTCATTTGCTACGATGAATTTAGGAGAGAATGGGTGCCACTGTTGTATAACATACCCCACTGTGTTACCAGGAGGTGCCTGAATCTCCAGCTGAGAAAAGGATTGGGCAAGACTAAGGTTTAAATTTGTGACCATATCCGCAACATATACTGTATCTAAGAGAACCATGTATAGCTAGACGTCTGCTCAAGAATATACACAGCCAAATCCTCACATTTCATGGAAACAAAGTGAGCATATCCTAAATGCGGTTTCACTTACCTCTTGTAGACAACAAGGGAAGAAGCAGGACATGCACTTAAGCGGCCTGGTGATGGTGATGACCTCCTGTCCAAAATTATCTAAGACGTGGATGGTGAAGGAGCGCATCGGACCACAACACTGCCGGCTCAGGCAGTCGTTTTCCTCCACAGCGTAGTACACATTCTGGCCCATGCTGTTGCGCACTTCGTATTTGTTGTTGCTCTCAAAACCAACAAGGGCTGTGAAAACCAACAGGAGAATGCAATGCCAAACTAACACACAAAACCAACTTGTGCAAAACTAGCTGCATATTACTTTTCTGGTAGTTGTTTTAGTTTTACATACTTTACCTTCAACAAGCTCAACCTTCTGTTTGATGAGTAACTGATCCACCTTGAAAACAGAAAAACAGGATTTAAATTCATGCATATTTGTCATCTTCATTTGACAGTTAAGGAGAGTGAGAAGTTCAAGTGGGATTTTGAAAACTTAGGGTACCTTTAAAGCAGTTTGATGTGCAATAATGCTGCAAAAGCCATCAGATAGCTTTACTCACATTTTTGACAGATACAAGCAACCAGATATTTATATTATGTTTAAATGTAAAGGATGAGATCATTTATGGCTCCATAAATATACTACTAATCAAGACCAAAAGCTCAAATTTCCACTTGACTCCTGAAAGATAAACTTGCTTCAGCCCCATATGAGTCGTGTGTGAGTTATTCAATATTTCTTACAGTCGTCTTATTCTGAATGCTTTGTTGCAAGAGAAAACTGAGATAAAATAAAGCTCTGAACTATGTCTCAATATGAGCGCAACAATAGGAAACACAGAGGTTTTGTCCCATACAGGTTTAACATCATAAAAATGTCAGTCGTGGAGAGTGGGGTAAGATGAGCCATTTTTCATATTTCGGATCACTACATCAAGGCAATCATAGTTTTGTCTCTAACTAGTGTATCTGCATGTATTTCAAGATGTTGTGCATCCCTGCAAACCAACAGAATGAGTGTAAACATAACTGTCTTGATAATATAGCATGCCAAAAAAAAAGGGGTCTCCTATGGTCATAGGAGCAGGGTAAGTTGAGTCGTATCCCTATTATATTTTTTTTGGTAATAAATGTCTAACCCCTTCACCCATGTGCTTCTAACCTTCACAGACTCCATGAATTGATGCCCATCTCCTAAAAATTTGGTCACATGATCAATTTCTTTTACCATTTCCAAGCAACAGGGGTAGGCTCAACTTAGCCTTTGGCTCAACTTACCCCACTCTCCCCTACTGTGTTGCCAGGAAAATCAATTCAAGAATTGTACACCCTAAATGATTAAGAACTGGTAAACTTGCACAACATTCATTCCACTCAATACATGTGCCCATTAAGCTAAAAACAGCTATTGTGGGTACTGAGAGAGGGTTACAGTCAGTGAGGGTTAGTTCAGTACATCTCCTGGTCAGGTTGCTGTTAGCTATTACTGAAAAGGGATTTGTATTACGCTTTAAAACACTCAACAGGAACACCTTTTTATGTCTCTTTATGGCAATACTTTGACTGAAAGACAGAGACATGAAAAACACACATGGAAAGGAATTTTTGCTATTTGAAGGAAGCTTTACCTATGTCTCACCTGAGTCAGGTATTCTAACCCTGGTGGGCAGCCTGGTATCCCAGGATTGGGTACAGCATACATATTCATTTTCTTGAACTGGATGGAGACCTGTTGATAAATCAAACGTTTACAAGAGAAACAGCGCCACCCTGTGCTTCTTAAAGCAACACTCATAAACAAATGGAGCAAAGGGGTCGTTTACATTTCTAGGTAGAAATTAGTCTTATTTTAGATGTGCTGTTCTATCGAGGTAACAGTATCACTATAAAACAATTGTGTCCTCTGTACGACACTCTTCAGGCCTTTAATCAAATGTACACGAGACACGAAGCGGCTCGTGCCCAGCCTTGGGGGGGAAGAAGGGGAGGCGGCGGCTGCAGACTTACATGGTGGGCGACACACTAATCTTGGTAGTGACGGGCTTCAGACGGAAATACTGCCCCGTGAGAAAATCCTCTTACTCCGTGTGTTTAAAGAAGAATGACCCGTTTGAAGGCAACACGAGCTACATGGACCGTTATTCATATGTAGGCCGTGTCCGCGTGCATCCCTGTGACTGATAGTGATAGAAATGTTTACTGTCCATGAATGGCTCGTCAGCTGGTGAAGGGAGCGCACGCTGACGTCTTATCAACCTACTTTTTCATCCTGAGAAAATGGCGACTTAATTAAAGCGACAACCAACACCTACAACACAACCCGTGCAGTGTGTATAACCTTCAAAACATACAGTTTTTCTGTTTGAAGCTGCATTACTCACCGATATTTCACCTGCTACTTAGAATAATACCAGGCCACTCCGGAACCAAGTCTGTGGAATAAACCTATAATCCTATTGGTGGACGTCATCGTACGTCCCATAATCACGCACCAATGATAAACCAGGAGTATAGAAGAGAACCCTACAGAGAGGAACAGAGAATACTAGATCAGGTTATACTAGAGCTTGTAAGAGTAAGGTTCGCTTCTACAAACATGACAGAAAATATAAAAATATTGTAATGGTCTGTTGATAGTCGAGCATGTATATTTTTATCTTAATTTTTTACATACTCTACAAGCTTAAAAGATTACATTTAGTGGGATATATATTTATCTTTTGTGAATTTTTAAAAACAGTTTGAATTTTTTTTTATCATCCAGATATATCATAATTCAAAGTACCACATTTTTCTTTATTATTTTATTTTGTTTTTATTTTACTTGGAGTATTTGTTATTACCTTTAATGGGGAAACCTCTGTGCTTCATTTCAGGTAATTGTAGGATTATTTTACTTCATGGCTGTGGCTTAAGGTACGGTAAGGTAAGGTAGACTTTATTGATCCCACATTGGGGAAAACTATTTCACCACCTGGACAAGAAGACTCGTACAGACAACAAACAGCATGGAGACATCAGAAATACATAGACTGACAGCAGCTACACAATCAACACAGTAAAGGTCAGTGAAACATGATTTAAAAGTGCTACAATAAAAGATAAGGACATGATCAAATACACCAAAAGCCTGATAAAAATGAATACTAAAATACCCCTACAAACCATGCAGCAGTGCCAAGTCAGACCCTAACATTCACAGTTAAAAAATCTCACTGCTGCTGGAACAAAAGACCTTCTTAAATGTTCAGTGGAGCACCAAAGCTTTCAAGACCTTTGAAGACATAGTGCAATGGATGATCTTTGTAGCCCAGTATTAATTTTAATTTAGACCTGGTCCTCCTCTCAACAATGGCCTCACTTACTTGTATCTTTTAGATGGATGATAAAACAAAAACAACATTGGCTAATACTCATCACACAGGGTTTAAATACTGCAAAACATGGTTTTATAATCGGAGAGCTGTTCCCCACCTTGTAATTCCGCCTCCATCTGTACATTTACAGGTACACCTATAACACTGAAATTGCTCTTTAAGTTGAGGTATGAATAGAATAATAAAATGTTGACATAACTTTTGACCAAGGTCACAGAAAACACATAACTTCTTTAATTGTAAAGTACTGTGCCACATTTAATTGAAAAGCACTTGTTTTCTTGATGAAGACACAAATACTTTAAAGTTATGTGAGAAGTTTCTTTTGTTCTCCTCAAACTAGCTTTATTCCTCTGAGTAAAACGTGGCGTTTATCATCAGAATTTGCAGATGTTTGGATCTCATATGGCACAAACAACACTTACAAATCACAAACACGTGCATTTAAAAATAAAAAGAACATACATGGCATATGCTTACAATACCAAAGGTCTGAATGAGTGCCATCCAGAATAGCATACTCCTATATAAAACCAGTGTTTATACTATCAGATGTCGTACAGTGATTGTGTTACATCGACTTGATTCTAGCAAATTGCATGTTTGAGACAGACAGTAGTTTGGTCTTCTACAATGGAGTAGGAGAATAATTGTGAACATATGTAGCCACGAAGCTGTACTCTGTCACTCAGTTGCACACACAAGTAGATGAGACATAAGTAGTATCCCAGGATAGTTTGATACAAACATAAGATTAAAGCAATTTACAGGGGTCTTACTTTTAAAATCCAATATTTTCATCATAGTTCAGTTGTTGTAATATTTTGTATCCTTTTTCATAAATATTGGCAAATTAACAAGCCATTTGTTAGTTTATTTAATTTCTGGTGCACAAATTAGAGTTCTCATCCTGTAACTGGATGGGGTCTAAGAACAGGCTAAGAAGCATAAACCCAAAAAGTGTCACGACTGTCGCAGTCTGGAGAAAAATCAAAAGGGAAAGGACCCAAAATGCAGAATGGAAAAAAGATTTTTTTTAAAGAAACAAAAACTTACTTTGAATTTCCAACTGAAAAAAAATTCCCAAAAAACACAAGAAGCAAAATCCAAGGAACAAGGAGACACTGGCATTGACACACTTTGACAAACACACATACAACACACAATGAACCAACAAAGACACAAGGGAAGACAAGGACTATAGATAAACATGGGAATGAGCAACGAGAGGCAGGTGAGACACTGAGACACAGGTGCAGACAATTACAGAGGAAGGAAAACTGAGGAAGTAAAACCAGACTAGAAACACAGGGAATAAACTACTACAAAATAAAACAGGAAACACTAAAAACTGATATAAAGAATAAAATACTGAGAACAGGAGGGAACTGGGGTCAGACACAAACTGAAAACTCACAAGACAGGAGGACATGGGAACAGAAACACAAGGAAAATTCACTTAAGGAAGACAAAACCAGCGGAAAACTAAATCAACGGAACATGTCATGACAAAAAGCTTCCAACACAGTACTTAAACATCCTATTGTTGGCTGGCTAACATGATATATGCCATAAATGTACACTGACATAAACATTAGCATATTTGAAGTACTCACCTATAAAACAATAGCTTTGCTTGTGCAAACATTTCTATTTCTATCCTATCTATAATTTTGAACCATGATGGTAAATCATAAAATGGCTAAATGCTAATATCAGCTGTGTTCAGTGTGAGCTCATGGCCAGATCTTTCTCCTGATTCTCCCAATCTGATTTCTATGTGGTTGGTTATCTACAGGAGAGCAGTGAAATGACAACAGTTTGTCAGTTTATTGAGATTACAGGACTTACAACCTGGACACAGTAATAATACATAATAAGATCTGAATTTCCCACCCTGAGTGGAGTGTCATACAAAGATGGCTGCTGTGGGATCATGGTCTAATGGCAACTTGGCAACACGCATCAGCTCTGTTGCTGTTGCCTGGATTGCAGGACAGGATCTTGCACTACTTTCCCCTCTAATAGTCATCAGGGCTCCTCAGGTTTCACTCACATCTGCGCCTGGAAACTGTAAATACTTCCTGATTCTCAAAATTGGGCTTGGACAGAAACTACTGGTTTTGCCACATTGTTGACATGCATGTTGATGAAATGTGCTTGACTCCCTTATTCTGACTGATGTGTGCGATCAGATTTTCCCTGGTAATGCTTCTGCTGTTGTTGTTGAGAATTATTCATAGCTGTTGCAGGGTTTTGACCAATCAGAGTCAAGTGTTTCACACAGCTGGTAACAAAGAGTGTTTAGCCTGCTCATCATGTAGAAATACACAAAGTGGTCACTATACAGGGAAGTGGTCGGGCTTCTTGAAGTGGTTTGGGTCTAAAGCCAAAGAAATGATTCTGTAAACACAGACATTTAAACTCTGACTGGTTATTGCTGTTAACCATGTGTCACTTTCAGATTACTATGGTAAAAAAAATAAATAAATAAATAAATAAAAACATCCCACTCAAGATTATTCTGTTTTAGTTAGTATCAGCACAGTCAGATTTATCTTTCTAATGTTTTATTTGAGGACATCATCCCCACTCTGTAATCTTATTGATTTGCTGAATACTGTGGCAGATCATGTTTGATTTTGTGTCCTCAGTTTCTGTATGGTAGGCAGTATATTACAGCTTTTTTAGTCAATTTATCAATTAATCAATCTTTATTTATATAGCACCAATTCACGACATGTGTTACTCTGAGACACTTAAAAAAGAAAAACTTCCTTTAACAGGCAGAAACCTTGAGCAGAACTGTACTCAGGTAAAAGAGTCATCTGCCACTACTGTGTTTGGGTTTAGAGAGGAGTTAGAGAGAGATGCAGAAATAGAGAGATAGACAGAGGTGAGATTGTTGTACATAGCTAAAGCAGCTGGAAAGTAGACAGGTCCACGGCAGCAAAATGTCTGCAGCAGCAGCAGCCCATAGGAACCTGTGACATGATGGAGCTCAGGAACTCCCAGAAAACATTGTGTATTAGTGATTCTAATGTGACATGGTGATTCAGAGTTAATAATACAGACAGAAGCAGGATGGAGAATGAGAGAAAGGTGCTCAATGTGTCAGTACCCCTGGCAGTCTAAACCTAGAGTAGTGTAACTAACTTAAAGGTTTATCAATAGGGAATATTTTAAGCCTATCTTAAAGGTAGAGAGGGTGTCTGCCCCCCACACCTGGACAGGTAGATTATTCCAGAGGTGAGAGGCCTGATAACTGAAAGCTCTACCTTCCAGACCATTTTTAGAGTTCGATGAGCAGGCCTGCATACTAGGACTGCAGTGTGCTTCTTGTAACCCTCTGGCAGCCATACTGAAGCTATGATATAACTCTGCAAACAGTTTGTAATGTGATTGTTTTCTGGGAGTGAACCAGTGAAAATCTTTTATAATGGTGTTTAGAAACTCCACCTTGTAGCTCTGCTGAGCAAGGAGGCAAGGCTTTAAATCTACCAGTCAATCTATACAATCCAACCCTTACTGATGGTCATGAGCTCTGGGTAGAAGTTGAAAAAATGAATTCTTGGATACAAGCAGGCGAAATGAGTTAACCCTTGAAGGCTGGATTGAAAAGAATCGGTTTAGGTGGCTCATAGGCATGTGAAAAGGACGCCTCCCTTTGGATGTGGGCTTTTCCAACCAGGAAGAAGCTTCAGGGAGACCCCTAGCCCACTAGGGGGATTATATATTCCACCTGCCTGGGAAACATCCCAGAGTCCCCAAGGAGGAGCTGCTGCTTCAGCAACCAGACCTCACATGAGTGGGAGAAATGGATGAATGCATAGACCATTAACTCCACTCTCATACATATTTTCAAAGAAATAAAATCCACAATAAATTCAAAATTGAGTTTAAACAATGACATCTCATTTGTCAGGTGGTCATTTTCAAATTTGTGGATAAAATGACAGATACTTGACTTGATGGAATGACGACTGAGAAATCACTTTGGGAAACAAACAGAAACTCTATCTCAAAAAACAAGAAAAATGTGTCAATTAAAGTTAGTTTTTAAAGTCTCAAGTTTCACTGCATCTCATAACACTCATAATAAA